TTTCCTAATTATATTTCAAGCAATGCAAGGGTATATGAAGATACAGGTGAATTTGTGCAATTCTACAATTAACGGTGAACGAGACAGACGCTTTTTCTAAAAATTTGTTGATTCCTCACACATTTTCACAGCAAGCCAAGCAAGTTAAGACATTGCAGTGGGTTTCTCAAAGTTGGCTTAAAGTAATGACACAAAATGGCTATTGGTCCCTGTCCTAAAGCTGAGGCAAGACCCTGTCTTCATGCCGAGCAATTGTATACTGTTCAGCACTTTAAATTCGCAGGGTCAATATTTTGGGGTTTCGTATTCAATACATATTCGCGGGGGATAAATTTTACTGTGCACTCGAATCCCATGTGTCGTAATCAATTAATCACCTACTTTGTACACATAAATATGTTGTTGCCACTTATATGTAAGTGTTGTTTTTACATGGACTGCCCAGTTGTCCAGTGATAATCTGATTTCAGTTCATTTAAGCTTGCATAACATCGTAAGTATTTTCAACATGTTGCGATAAGGTCAGTAAAAATGGTTTACATTTTTGATAATTTTGCTGGTGTTTAGAATTCGCAGAAATTAGTCAAAGCGTGAATATACAATATGAGGTTATAGATTAGGGATCTCAACCGTTTCCAAGTAACAAACCAGTTTCCCTATTGGACCCCACCCTAGGGTGAGAACAGACCCCAGAGTAAATTTTGGTAGCATGATTATATTGTCTTATGATATCAAGTATTGGTAAAATGTGGAAATAAAGACTGTTTTTAAGCTGTGATCCAATTTCTCAAATTAGGCCCAGCCTGTCTGCCCCACAGGGGATCACACTCTCCATGTATACAAAGTTGAGTTCCTTTAGCCCAATGCTGTTCTAGAACAAGTTTGGGTCAAAATTCCTCTGTTTTGATAGGAAAAAGACTTACCTAGAGTATTAGATTAATCTCCATTTTCTGTATTTGACCCTGCCTCTCTGCCCCAAAGATGGGAGCAGGGATGTTTTCACAAAATTTCGTGACAATGCCTTTATTTGTACACAGGGAGAAGGATTTTAAAGATTCGTCTGTTTTCCCAATATTGTGCCCTGCTACTCTGCACCAGGATGGGCCACACCCACTATTTATACAAAATTGAGTCCCCTTTGCCCAACAGTACTGCAGATCCACAGAGCTCTTTGTGAGTTGTAGCATTCTAAATGAAAACATTGGTTGATGGACATTGCACCATGGCATTAGCTAATAATAGTCCAGGTAAACCTATAAGGGAGGTAACTCTTAAATATATATCGTTCACCTAGATATTTAAGCAATCACTACAAAATATTCTCATTAAATACACTTCCAGGTAATATCGAAAATATTCCAAATATTGGCAATGTCTCTCAAAAACATTCTGCCCTTATAGGTTCCTTCCCTCTATACCCATATGTGTGTGAGTGTGAGGATGTGTGTGTGGTTGTTTTTTTTTTTGGGGGGGGGGGGGGCACAACCAATCGTTTATACAACATTGAATCCCTATCATATGCATGGAAGAAGGATTTTTGAGATTTATCCCTAATCCTTTTATTGAGGCTGCACCTCCTCTCCCATATATACAAAATGGATTCCTTTTAGCCCCCAGCAGGGAGCCACATCCTTTATATACAATATTGATACATGTTGGGCAAATAATGCTCTCAATCCTATTTTGTTTGAACATCTTCTTCTCCAAAACACACTCTGTATGTATAATTCACAACCATGTGGTTTATTGAACAAGAAAACATGTTTTAATCTTCTTACCCATCGTCTTGGTTGACCTTTGACCCAGGTCACTGATCAAAGTTGACCTTCGAACTCAACAAAATATATTAGTAATTAGATTTGCATTGCTATAACATTGCCAAATTTCGTGGCTCAAGGCCCTATGGTTCTTTACAGCTGTTTGTAGTTTTTAACATATTTGAATCTTGTGACTATCACAGGTAACAAATGACCCCATATTGAACCTGGACCTTACAAAACTATTTACATGTTCAATCCCATGTTGACATTGACCCTGGCCAGCACTTGAAGTTTGCCTTTTATCTCTGTATAATATGAAAAGTTGTGCACCGCTGATCTACATAATATCATCATGTACATGTACATGTATTACAGCTTTTTACCCCAGCTACAGTTCCTTTGATAATGTTTAAACTCAACATAATCAACCCCTGTGACCTTGAAAGTAGGACAAGGTCATTTATATGAGAGAACTTAACAGAACTCGATCCAAGGTACTTGCTGACAGATAATCAGGATTCAGTTTTTAGTTTTCAAGAAAATGTATCTCATAGAAAAAAAATTGATGATGACACTGATGACAAATGCTTCTCAGAACAATGAAGTTTGCGCCAGGTGAGCTATAGGTCATATGAAAATGTTCTCGGTTACGTAGTTTGATAAAGGTGAACAGGTGAATGACGTAGATAAATAAATGTGTCCGCCAATGACATTAAGGATTGCTATAAACAAGATTGACCTGTTATAAACATCGTAATGATTACACTTTCTTTTTTTTTCTTTGTGTGTTTATAACATGTCTATATCTATAGCTATTTTTAAACGACACTGAACGATATTTGGGAAACACAATATCGAAAGTTGTCAAATCCGTTTGATCATATCTATGCCTGCCCAAAAGAAGTTTTATACTTTCCTTCCTCCACGGATGCTAGTTTTATACTTTAGGCTAAATCCCTTCCACCTGTATTAAGGATCCTCGTTTTACTGTCAGAAACGGTGACTAATTGTTGGAAACTGTTTTTTTCCAGCATAACTATACCTTTGATAAATATTTTTTGAAAAGAAAACCATGCCTTCATTACAGGACTTTTATAAGAAATATAATCAAGATGAAATGTTCTGAGCGTAAACACAATCACTGTTGGGGCTAGACCAGATTCGAACCTTGGACTTCTGACAGCTGAGTTATTGCTCTTCCCAATTGAGCTATCTGGTTGACAAAGTGCCCTGGCCCGATTGTTCTACAATTATATCTAAATGGAAGTTAAGGGGAGATCACCTGTTTCTTTTGATACATGAAACTGACATATAGGTAACTTCAGACCAAATTTGGTAACTAGAACACAAGACTGTTTAACATCACTTGAACAGTTCTTAAGATATTGTTGTTTGAAATTTGAAATTTGAATTGTAAAGCTTTTAACCCACGTTGACCTTTGACCCCCCCCCCCCCCCCCCACCACTAGCACTTAAAGTTGACCTTTGACCTCATTACTGTATTTCAGAAAAAAGATCACACAGCTGGTCTACATAACATACCCAAGTATTATGACTGTAGTCCAAATGGTTCCTAGGATATTTTTTTGAGGTTTTTAACATATTTGACCCATGTGACCTCGAAAGTAGGTCAAGGTCATTTTAATGAAAGGCAGGTGTGACCATGTGTTATCCCCTGCGGCACCCAGAATAACCTTAGATGTATCTAAAACTCTTCAGATAAATTTCTTATTTTTTTTAAAATTGAACTTTATGGCCATGAAACTTTCAAGCCATGCTATAAAGTTCAAAGTATTATTGTGTGCTGTATGGGTTTTATAAATATAAATATACAGATAAATATAGGGCTAACTAATACCCCCACATTTTGGCTGCTTGTTGCCCCTGTAGGGGCTAAGTAAACAAGGAAAAAATATAGAGAAAGATCAAGGGTCATGAATAAGTCTAGCCTCAGATGTCGTATCGACAGACCGATGGAAAAGACAAATACCACTACTGTGACCTTTGACTCAATGACCTCAGAATTTTGTCACTATGTAGCTTGCATCAATTCTACATTTACTTCAAGGTATGTGTATACAAAATACCTACCATTTCTGCCATAATTAGCCATATCAGTAACATAATGCATCCGTGACCTTTGACTTTGGAAGTTTGTCATAAAATAGCCTGCATAATTGGCTACGATACTCTTATGCATGTGTGTAAAAATACCTACTGTTTCCGAGATTATTAACCATTTCGTTAACATAATTCATTCGTGACCTAACAACCTCAGAAGCAGTCAGAAGAGTAGATTGCATTAAGGCCTACAATATTTTAAAGTATATGTGTATACAAAACACCTTCTGTTTCTGAGATATTTACCCATTTCAGTAACGTAATTCATTTGTGAACTTCTAGTATTACCATACCAAATTTGGAAGAAATTGAATAAAAAAGTTCTGGTGTTTTCTATACAATGTCATGGTCTTGAGAAGGTTTATGAAGTTCGTGCAAAGGGGGAGATAACCCAATTAAAAGTACTTCGCACACATCTCCAAGCTGCAAGGATTATTATCAACAAATTTCGGTGAAATCCATCCAGAAGTTTAGGAGGAGTACACGGTCCTACATTGCGTCCACATACGGACAGAAAACCTGATTCCAGTATACCCCACCTAGCTTCATTGCGGGGGTGGGGTATACCAATTCGAGAGCTGGTGTAGATAAATCATACCACTTCAGAAAATGTGTCCCCAAATGACATTAAGGATTGCTATAAACCAGATTGACATGTTAAACATCGTAATGATTACACTTTCTTATTTTTTCCTCACTATGTGTTTATAAATTATAACATGTCATGCTCATTTGTAACGACACTGAATGTTAATTTTATGAAGTGGGTCAAATCAGTTTGATCATAATTATCTGCACGTGTCCACAAGAAGTTTCATAATTTACCGTACATCCAATTACTATGCATGTAATGTTGTTTAATGTTGTTTGATAAAGTCGCTGTTATGATAAATTTCGCCCTCGTTACGGGGAGCGAAAATAGGCGAAAATTTAACTGCAGCGTACATTTCTGTTTGTGGATATCTCCTATCTAAAAATCTGTAATCCAGTATTCCAATTAAATTTGGTCTATATCCAAAACCACAGAACCCCAAAACCACAGCCAACAATTCATGTTGAACCGTATAAAGTGAATCTCCTGTTTGTGACATTTAGACTAAAAGAACAACAAGAATGAGACAATTTAAGTAGATAAAAATTTATTACACTCAATATGATTTGACACAAGTCCCTTTTACAGTTGTTTGGAGGGATGTAGATTAGTGTATGTGAATAAATAATACAACGTTGTAAAACAATATTGGCAGGCTGACAAACACTGCTTGGATACCAACGCATATATAGTCGAATCAGCAGCCTGGCACGACACCACACGACAACACACAGATATTTCATAGGTTAACCTCTTATTTTTCTTTATAATAATTTGATATTTATCTATAATAAATTTATTTGAAAATATTTCTCTCCATAATCACCTACCCGCTTATTTATATCTATCTCCCAGGATGCATCATCTACATATCACAGGCATGTTTCGGCCACAGGGGCATGGCACAGATCGTGCGACACACACAAACTGTTGGGATCTGTGCCATGCCCGTGGTTTTGGCATCACAAATGCTCTGTTTAGCAAACTAAAGCCATCTTTGTTTTAAAACTACAAATCATCTTAAATCTTAATATTTGATAGACCTTATGCTCCAGCCAGAATGAGTCGCTAGTTATTGGGACATAAAAAAAAATCTTACCCCGGTACTCTAATCATAACTCTATTGATATTATTGCACTCATGATTATTTTCTAGATTGAATGAGTTGATGATAGGTGATTTCTATTTTATCAACAATCCCAGATTGCACGTCTTTTCCTCTAAAGAGATAAGGGAGAACAATTTCGCTCACAAATATCGATATCTGGTTAAGAACGTCTTAAAGGCGAGATGATTTATAAAGGTTTGAATGATCAGAGCTTTGGTGGACAGAAATATGTCTTCTTCTTTTAACACGGACAATCAAATTTCATCAAATTCGTGAAAAATAGATTTTTTCCTGTTTGTTTTTCCACCACTTACAACACAATAAATGGACACTATTTACTATTGGTATAAGCTATATTGAAATAAAAGCTATATAAATATCAATTTATATATAGTTTTAACTTTTTAGTACATGTCTATGATCATTACCGGTTAATCTCAGCTGTCGGAGATACACTGGTAACATCATATCGCCCCTTGACCGAGATAAATCGATACTGACCATCAGTATGTAGTCATCATGTTAATTATTTTCACATCAACACCATTGTATTTCTATATTTCTCATAATTCAGCTATGAAGCAGAGGCATATCTATATGCAGATGTACTATACACTAGCGAACTCCCTGTTACAATAACAAACCTGACAATACCGCTCCATACCTGTATTACCAGAGAGGTAGTAAACTATTCTCTTCCTTACAATAAGCCTGACAGCGATTTACAACAACCCAATTTTTCAAAAAAAAATTCAGACGTCATCTTCAAAACATTTCCATAGAGGTACTTTTACAATATTTTGTACTAGTAAGCCAGTTTATATTTACAATATCAACTATCTATTTCTATTATAATCTACTGTACACATTACAACACTGGACTGGTAATATCCTATCTCACCCACTTAATGAAGCAGATCTGCGGTATTTTATAGGAAACTCTATTAGAAATAAATTAAAATAACTTAATCAATGCATAACAAAAGAAAACGTTTGTTCCCCAATCACATCTCTCCAGTTAAGTATTCATATATATTTATATTCAGATAGAAAGAATAGATGGAAAGACAGTTTTAGGATAAAGAAAAAGAAATTAGAATGTTAACGGAAGAAATGTGATTGAGAAATAACCTATAAGAACAAAATAAAAGAATGAAGCCTAAAATTGACATATTCAGGCTAAAGCTTTCAAGATTTTAAACATTAATAAAATAATGCATAAAAAAATAAAACAATAAAATCCCTGAAAGTATTTCTCTATTTCAGTGTTAAAACAACAGTGCCATGATTCATAGAATAATTAAAACAGGCTCATTTATACTATGAAACAAACTCTGAATTTTGTCATTTGTGAGTTGTCTGCCCTTTGCACAATATGTCAGAACAAGTTGACTGTGTATACTATAAATAGACTCTGTATTTGCTATACAGTATGTATACAGTGCGTCCCGTAGGCCTCTCTCCCACAGGTAATGGCACCCGTTATAGCTCACGTACACACGCACACAAATCTTGTACAACAGCAGACTGACTTCTCACTTTACATTTCTCACTTCAAACCTCTTACTACACATAACAGCTATCAGCACACATGATACATTCTATTACAATCATTTTCATCAAAGATCTCTCGCACACCACTTTAAATGAACATACTCTCCAGTCATTTAGGATATTATCTTACAAAATTTCAATTTCAATACTAACATAGATATCATATTTTAACCACTTGATCAGAATTTCAGAAATATTTAAATGTCAAATACAAAATATATTTCAACCTGCTAATACTTGTGCTGCTTTTTGCCCAATTAGATCGTTTCTCAAAATAATCTAAATATGAAAATATGCAAAAATTCACACCAGAAGGTTGAAAATGATAATAACGTTTACACATATCGGAGTGCTTAACCCAAAACAGATATACATGTCTCCATATGGGTACAACAAAACAGCAGAAACAGCAAATTTTGCTAAAGGTAAGTTGGTTCAACCATTTTGCATTAAGTGAACACTCACACACACACACAAGAACTTGCCACTACAACACGGCCCATCCACCCACACATAACTAACACTACAGCACTATCGGATTAGACAAACACACTGCCTGGGGAGCCGACAGAAATAAATAGATATAATGCTTTGATAATATTTTACTTGCTACATCTATGTACACCACATACATTCTGTACAAGGCTTGGAATGAGGTGTATTCACAGGGGTTAACGGGTGGGAACAGATTGCCTACCAGACTGATCTACTGGTTTTATAAATGAAAAAAACCCATTCCTCTATTAGAAGATCTCGTGGAGCTCAATGACGAAATCATGGCTGATTTGACACTAAGAAGTGTCGAAACTAAGGATATCAGTTTCAATTATTTAAAAATTTCAAAAATCTTTTCAGAATATTTTTCCAATTATGAAACCAAGTGATTCTAACTGGAGTTACTGTTCCATATACACACAGGGCTTGGTAAAACGAACACAATACACAGCAACACATATGTACACACACGCACACACATACAATCTCGAATCATTTCCAACAGTCAATAGTTAACAGCACTGAGACTGTCTTCATTTGTAGCAAAGTACTAATAGTCTTTTGTTGTATAAGTTGTAGCTTTTTCAGGTTTTTTGTTTTCTTATAAACAACCTTAAATTTTCAAAAAACAAACAAACAAAAACAACTTAAAACAAGGTACAAAAAGGAAGAGAAATAAAACAGAGCAAGAGACAGTTGTAGGAGTAAGATATGGGATAGAGACAATGTAAGATGTTATCAGGCGAGATAACGGGCCAAACGGCTTCAGCACATTCTAGCATCCTCATCCTGTCGCCAAGCCTCACGTAAAGTGAACAGCACAAACAGTTCTGTTGACACTGCGAGATCACTCTCGATTGTTTGTATAGGACGGTTACCACTGGAGTAATTTGTCAATAAAAAGCGTAACCCACAGAAACACTGGACACCATTGATGCTAAATGTTCCATCATTACAATGACACGGTGGTCGGCTAGGCGGGTCCCGGGGCCCTGGGGTACACTAAAGCTGCCTAATTCACAAGGTCTACAGGAAACCCACTCAGAACTTGAGAGGTCTGAATCCTGTCCTACCAGCCTTTTCTCCTGCCCACGACTTGGACTTGGCCCGGAAATGTCTGTAGTCGGTTGTGTGGTCCTTGTGTAGCATGGGTTTGTAGCTTCGTGGCTCACAGTGATCCTACAACCCAACAATAAAACACTTATACATATATCTAACGATAGCCTTCCTGTCAAAGACCTTCATGTTTAGGAGCAATTTTTAAATTTTTGATATATTATGAACATTTACAAAATAGAAAAAATATTTGTTGATTATTTTGTTTTCAGAATGCAAGTATTTATCTGTTTTCTTTGATAATCATTGCTAAAATATGATGTTCTTTATTAGTACTTTTTACGATAAAAATATGAAGAAAACATTATATACAAGAACATAAATTTTGTGATGACTGATCCTGTAGAAAGCTACAAATACTTAAAACTTAACTGATATAAAAACACATTGTTTCCAATGACTTGTAGGAAGATGTGAAGAGACGTCTGTTTTTAGTGTATGTCTTACCTTGCAGTCCTGGTAAAAAAGCTTGTATCCTCCCTCGAGGAGGTACAGCTCTGGGTAGTGGAGGGCGGGGTAGCACTCTTTGTTTACATCTCGATCCATCTTCCTGAGGAAACGTAATCTACAACAAACAAAACACAGTCAGACACTGTACACCTACTTTGTGTGATGCAGGTAAACTTTTTAAACTCCACCAACATATCTTAAATTGTTTATAATTTCACTGAAAACTTTCACTTATTTGACCTAGATGTGAGAGTCACATCGCCCTATTTACAGTAAACTGCACACCTTCGGTGGGTGAAACATGTATGTCTCATGTTTCGTCAGATATCTTTTACAGTTTAAAATGTACAGCCTTTATCAGCCAAAGCAGATACACCATGTCTCCCTACATATTTATCACAGGACCTTTTAACCAGTAAAACTAAAACACTGTCAGGTCGGCAAGGCCCCCGATCCCCATCTATTTTTAGCAACAGTGTCTGTGACACTGACCTTAGAACATTTTTAAACTTCTATTACACATCTACATTTGACAGTGTATCAACATGTCAAATTTCAGAAAGATTGTTTATTTAATTTCTGAGAAACTCTCCGGAAACAAAGTGTGGACAGACAGATGACACTGTGATTACTATGGGGCACCCACACCTTAGATGTGGGTCTGTAACTGTAACCATTGTTTGAGAGAACATATACTTACAAGGATGGACCTCTCTCTGAGGAGAACTCGCAGTGGAAGATGAGCACGACACGTTTGTTGGAGTCCGATGTGATGGGCTTTTTGATGAACTCTTCAATGATTCCCTCCTTTGTGTAAATGTTCTTTGCGTCCTGAAAAAACAAAACCATCATGAATAAATTGACATAAACATTGAATTAGCCTGCATTATGATAGCCTGAATGTGGGGTAATAAGGAACTCCCTGAAGTTCTCATGCTATATAGGGGGAAGTTATACCCTTTTCTCCTGTTTTCTCTCTGGAGAAAAAGTTTCTGAAGTGCTTTTTGTTATAAAGCATCTATCAAGAAAATGAACTTTTTATGTTATTTTCAAGTTGTTTTTTTTTGTTTTTTTTTATCAAATTAGAAAGGTAAATGTTTAAATCTCTGGGTTCAAATTTCCGGGCCCAAAAAGACCGGCATGACAAATCATGAACTTATATAAATAAGGAAAACTCACAGAAATTATCTTTCAAGAAGTTTATACTGATTATATATATATTATGAAATTTCTTGCAGCAAAATCTGAACATTTTAAATGTGGTTGCTATCTGACTGTATGGTATTTCTGTCATGAATACATTTACTGGATGATTTTAACATCAAATTTGCATTTTGGTATATTTTCTTCAATGCGGATTAGCTTGTATTTAAGGATATAAAAGTGTCACAACATTGATAGGTCATAGGTCGTGGCTTAACGGTCCAGAACAGCCAGAGCCACATGCAGACTGCCATTCTGCATAACAATATCGTGACCTTCAATGAACTTGTAAAGGTAACGAGTCAGCAACAATATATTTCTTTAGCTCGAACTCACCTTAATGTGACCTCCGTCAAACTCGTAGGGGTACCGACAGTCGATAACGATGTACTTTTCCAGGTCTTGGTCATAATCATTATTTAGTACACCCACCATCTGTAAAGAAAGATAAAAAAAGAGATGAGTTTTAACCTTTACAGAGCAAAAATACAATACTTTGCAAAGATTTTTTTTTTTTTTTTTTTACTTTGTGAATCTGTAATAATTTCTGCAATATGTTTATGGCACCTTAAAATTTTCAGAATTTAAATCGCAACAAACACAAGTTATTTTGTGTATTCTGACTATTTCTTTCTTTCAAAATAACCAAAATGTATGAATCACATGCTGAAGGCTTTGGAAATATCTACTAAGCTGTGATAATTAGTAACAGGAAGCTTCATTACCATGAAGTTACACTCCCCATGTTGTGATAATCAGCGACAGGTCAGAGAAATTTTGATAAGGGTTACGACGAACCAATACACTACCGTACTAATTTTTTTTTGTATTAATATTTCTTGAGTATGTTTTTATAAAAATAATATGGAAGTAAACAACAAAATCTATATACATATATCTCCATGTTTACTACTTAGCTTGCTGTTAATAAAAAATAAAGTATTTATAAATCAGATGCAATAAAATATTAATAAGTTACCTCCACACATTTCTGATATCTCTATCAGAGTTACTGTCCTTCGTTTAGAACAAGATTGTCAACGAATTTGTGAAGGAAATTGTTGTGTGTTACTTCAACTAAGCCTTCATCTTTCCTAAGTATTTTTTTTACAAAGTCTCATAAGAATCAAGTTATTATTGTTAATGACAGTTGATCACACTTGTACCATCCTTTATGTTATTATCAGTAGTAGCTGATCACAGCTGTACCATCCTTTATGTTATTATCAGTAGTAGCTGATCACAGCTCTACCATCCTTTATGTTATTATCAGTAGTAGCTGATCACACCTGTACCATCCTTTATGTTATTATCAGTAGTAGCTGATCACAGCTCTACCATCCTTTATGTTATTATCAGTAGTAGCTGATCACAGCTCTACCATCCTTTATGTTATTATCAGTAGTAGCTGATCACAGCTGTACCATCCTTTATGTTATTTTCAGTAGCAGTTGATCACACTTACCGTCTCCGGTGCTATGCCTTTGAGATCTTGGTGTTTCCCAGAAATTGTTGGCAGGCAGTAAGGCTACAATAAGCAACAAGTTATTTAAAGCTACAGCAGATAACATTTAGCCCACAGATAACATTTAGTCCACAGATAACATTTGACTAATTAGCCCACAGATAACATTTGACTAATTAGCCCACAGATAATATTTGACTAATTAGACTGCAGATAATATTTGCTTAATTAGCCTAGCCCGCAGATAATATTTGCTTAATTAGCCTAGCCCGCAGATAATATTTGCTTAATTAGCCTAGCCCGCAGATAATATTTGCTTAATTAGCCTAGCCCGCAGATAATATTTGCTTAATTAGCCTAGCCCGCAGATAATATTTGCTTAATTAGCCTAGCCCGCAGATAATATTTGCTTAATTAGCCTAGCCCGCAGATAATATTTGCTTAATTAGCCTAGCCCGCAGATAATATTTGCTTAATTAGCCTAGCCCGCAGATAATATTTGCTTAATTAGCCTAGCCCGCAGATAATATTTGCTTAATTAGCCTAGCCCGCAGATAATATTTGACTAATTGACATTTAATTTATAAACTATATTTATTTTACAACAATTATACAACAATATATTTCAACCTATAGTAAACACTCTTGTTGGCCCGGGTGTTTAAATGTGGGAGGAAACTGAAGAACCCGCAGAAAACCCAAGTGGTCGGGCAGGTGACCCCATACTTTTCCACGACCGATCGGGGAATCAACCCCAGCTGCCTTGGTGAAAGGCAAGTGTGCTATGCACTGCACCACCCAACCACCTAATTAGACAATCTGTATGTGGACAAGAACATCAATGAAATCCTAGATTTTCCCCCCAATTTCATCCCAGTTTCCATTTCCCAAATTCCCTGATAAACCCCTGTAACCAGACTACACCTAGTTTGTCACACCTATGCGGAAGGGTGCTTCTTGTCACAGTTTCCTCTCAGAATATAGATTAGTCTTACATACATCCGTTACCTAAACTTTGTCACAGCATGCAGTTCCTTTCAACCCAGACAATGAACTTTCGATTAATGACTAGCCTACATGGATATCGACCCCCACACAGCTACAAGGACGATAACACCTACCTTAGAACAGTCACCGATGAGGTCGGGTTCAGTGGCAATCCTGTTCAGCGCCGATTTAATCACAGCTTCTGTTTCAGATTGGCAACGATAGAGTTTTGGCTTGGGTTGCGTCTGAAAAAAATAGGAAAACATTGATTAACTTCAAGTGAGGACAAATATTTTACATAACAATGTCACTTATATGGCACTAAAAAAGCCAAGATGATTACAACTCATCTGTAAGCGAAGTATTTATGACATTTCCAACCTAGATTTTTCTTACCAAGTGAGCAATCTGCAATTATCTTATCTTGTATGGAATAAAACTATTTATAAAACATATACTGTACACCGTGAGACTTGCCCCGTCAAATATTCACCCTTTGCAGAAAAAATCCATGTTCCCCTTGCATTCATTTCGCCTTTCGTATGTTATGTTGCAACTTATAATCGCTGTTATGCTTAATTTGTACTCATTGTTGAGGGCGAAAGTTACACTGCAGTATAAATTTCCCAGTGGTCAGTATATATGCCCACACTCCCACTTCGATGAGAAAGGAGTTACTCGCAAAGTCCAACCATAGTCAGAAGGCAGGAAATATAGGTCGCAGTGACCTACAATCGAGGTATTGCTGTAATACTGTCACAGTGACCTACAATCGAGGTATTGCTGTAATACTGTCACAGTGACCTTCAATCGAGGTATTGATGTAATACTGTCACAGTGACCTACAATCGAGGTATTGATGTAATACTCCTCAACATGTTATAACTTTGAGCAGTTTGAGGACACATGGACTAATGTCTTACCAGTGTGTCCGAGGGACAGAAACATAAAACACTTAATGATCAGATTTACTATTATGTGGGGAAAAACAACGAGAACATCAATCTATTCACAATTTTTGTTAAATGGTCACCAATTATATTTTTGAGAGATATAGTTATCGTATTCCAACTCTCACTTTTGTAAAATAATACAACTGTGCGTCATTTAGAGGTTATGCTATTTATGAGTTGTCAAATTGTATTTTGCCGAGATATTGGTGAACAGTTTCATTTTCTAATCCATTTCTTTTTCAATCACTGAAGAAAATAAATAAGAAAATGATTTTTTTTTTAAATAATCTCGATTGCGTTACACCGGAGTGTGCATATTTCGTGAAGCATACCTTGTGTGTTTCTTCCTCTAACACGGGAGAGCTGGTCGAGATGATGGATCGACGGCGCTTACTCTGTGTGGGTGTTGAGTCATCTGTTGGGGGTTCACGCTTGTTAGAGTTGAGTCGACTTCGTACATCATACGACTGGGATCTGTTCAGGAGTCTTCTGTTCGACCTCTTTATCTGAAACGGACAGAAAGGACAGCATTATAACACAGAAAAATATGGATTCTTCAAAATGTAACAAAATACCTCGTCAGCTTTCGACATATACTATGTAACAGTAAAACGAAAACCATTCTCAATTTATTATAATTTTTTCTATGTTTAAATATAAGATGTAATATATTTACCAAAATTGATTATCAAGAAACTAATTCAACATGGCTTATAATGACAGTATGTAAACCTTTCCTTCCCAATGTCGATAATGAAGTAGTTATTCCTACAGTCTATATTACAGAATGATGACAAGAGTAACACATTTAGCTTCCTTCAAACACTTTATATCTAGGAACGTATCAACCAAACTAAGCAAACTAAGCAGCCGTGTGATACGGAGTACAGCATCTTACAGAAGCTAAGCAGCTGTGGGATACCGAGTACAGCATCTTGCAGAAGCTAAGCAGCTGTGAGATACGGAGTACAGCATCTTGCATAAGCTTAGCAGCCGTGTGATAACGAGTACAGCACCTTACAGAAGCTAAGCAGCTGGGTTATACCGAGTACAGCATCTTGCAGAAGCTAAGCAGCTGTGAGATACGGAGTACAGCATCTTGCATAAGCTTAGCAGCCGTGTGATCCGGAGTACAGCATCTTACAGACGCTAAGCAGCTGTGTGATACCGAGTACAGCATGTTACAGAAGCTAAGCAGCCGTGTGATAACGAGTACAGCACCTTACAGAAGCTAAGCAGCTATGTGATACGGAGTACAGCAACTTACAGAAGCTAAGCAGCTATGTGATACGGAGTACAGCAACTTACAGAAGCTAAGCAGCGGTGTGATACGGAGTACACCATCTTACAGAAGCTTAGCAGCCGGGTGATACGGAGCACAGCATCTTGCAGAAGCTAAGCAGCTGTGTGATACGGAATACAGCATCTTACAGAAGCAAAGCAGCCGTGTGCTCCTGAGTATAGCATCTTAAAGAAGCTTAGCAGCCGTGTGATACGGAGTACGGCATCTTACAGAAGCTGAGCAGCCGTGTGATACTGAGTATAGTATCTTACAGAAGCTAAGAAGCTGTGTGATACGGAGTAAAGCATCTTACAGAAGCTAAGTAGCTGTGTGATACGGAGTAAAGCATCTTACAGAAGCTAAGCCGCTGTGTGATACGGAGTACAGCAACTTACAGAAGCTAAGCAGCCCCGTGATACGGAGTACAGCATCTTGCATAAGCTTAGCAGCCGTGTGAGAACGAGTACAGCATCTTACAGACGCTAAGCAGCTGTGTGATACCGAGTACAGCAGCTTACAGAAGCTAAGCAGCTATGTGATACCGAGTACAGCAGCTTACAGAAGCTAAGCAGCTATGTGATACCGAGTACAGCAGCTTACAGAAGCTAAGCAGCTATGTGATACGGAGTACAGCAACTTACAGAAGCTAAGCAGCTATGTGATACCGAGTACAGCATCTCACAGAAGCTAAGCAGCTGTGAGATACGGAGTACAGCATCTTGCATAAGCTTAGCAGCCGTGTGATATTGAGTATAGCATCTTACAGAAGCTTAGCAGCCGTGTGATACTGAGTATAGCATCTTACAGAAGCTAAGAAATGCCACAGAAACAGCAAATAACCAAAATTAGCTTCCGAGCTCGGAAAATCATAGTATGCAAAATATCAATAACTATAGCATGGCAAACTCTTTCAATTTTTTCTACTGTCTAATTTGCTACATTTGTTTGTTTAAATGCTACAGTGTAATAATTACCACAGGCGTCTCTTCCTCCTCCTCCAACTCCAACCGGCTCGCCAGGCGATCCTCGTTGACAACGGGAGCACTAAACAGGGATGCCATCGTGTCCGACACATCGGGATAATTATCATTGATCTGTAACAAGCAAAAGGATCAGGTTATGAATTTATCGATTCTTATTCATTATTTATTCTTTGATAAACTGACTTGAAGCCATATTGGGTTTTTCTTTCTTGTTCTTTAGAGCTTTAAGAAAAACTTAATATTAATTTTACTGCTAAGGATTGAAAATTGGCAACATTTTTTTTTTAACTTTTAATATATTTTAACTGAATTTATTGTGATGTCTTTGTAAATTTCCATTCTAAATGTCTGGTACAAATATAGAGTATGAGTATCATAAATCTAATATGAAGGGAAACGAATGACAGATTCTTTTTATCATATAAAACAAAGTAAACTCTATAATTGTGATCTGAAACTAATATTTTGCACTTGGCTGCCTCTGAAACGATAAATACTGCATCTGCTTCACAATGACGTGACATTACACACGTTACATAAACATAAGTTATGTGATGGCTTTATGACACTGCATAACACAGTGTTCATATGATAAATATATATATATCAGTGTTACTATTTTTTTCCTCATACACCTCTCCTACATACCTGAGCGATCTCACTGTCCATGCAGTCGAGGAAACCATCATCTACATCTTCATCGTCGTGACTGAGAAGGCGGTTAAACTTGAGGGGACTGTCAGACTCCTCCATGGGTCGAATGTTAGCACCAGAGAAATCCTACACAAGGGCAGACAACCATCAATAAAAATGCATACTCCGAAATACGGGAGAAATATTTTAGAGGGATGAAACATTATTTAGGAAACATTTAGATTGATGTGGTTGATATTTGGGGTACAAGGGTAGATAAAACAATACACACGGTTACTAACTGAGACCAGTCCTTAGATAAAACAAACTCTTAATGTTCAAGTTTACTTTCTGTGACAAATTGACATTTTTTTTCCAAGTTCTGATATTCATCTCTTAAGCATGAGTGGAAAATTACTTGCTTTGCAAAAAATATTTTTGATCTTACTTCCATTGCAGAAATTATTTTCTTATCAAAGAACAGGTCTTATGCAGAAATCCACACAAAGTAATACCAATATTTTGGTATGTCACACAATAATTACACTACACACATGATAAATTCCCACATTGTATGATGATAAAGAAATGAAACGATGATTTTCTAGTGATACATTAGACTATGAAATGATGAGATGATTCTAGGGTTGGAAAATTAAAGTGAGAAGTCACACAAATAAAAAGTGAAAAAGTACAAGAACGATGGACATTGTTGTCATGGTAATAAAGGGCAAAAGGGAGATAACTGCCAGGGAATAGTAGGCGACACCTCTTCTTGCAGAGCTAATAAGTAAGATCAGACTCTGTAATGGTAATATTCCACTTCTACTAGTACATACACACAACTACAAGGGGAGATAACTGAGAAGACTAGAATGTCACCCAATCCCCTGTAGCTTAGATGTGTTACAGACAAAACTCCATTTTGGGGAGAACTGCTGTTCTGACTTTTCTATAACATATATGCTAAGGAACTACAAAGGGAGACTACTGGCAGAGGAAAAGACTTCTACCTCTGTGTAGTGTAGATTTGTACCAGACAAGACTCCATTGAAGGGAGACAAGCTGTCCTTATCAAACGATTTACGTATTAAGTTGCAAATGTCAACAAGCTGTTGGTTATGAAGTAAATCTATATTTTGTGCCCTTGTGGCACATTTGGTAGGTTAACAAAGTAAGGTCGTACCAGGCCTGTAACGGGGACCGACTTAGATCGTGGTCGTGACGGAGAGTCGCTGTTACTGTCGGTCAGGTACTTGACGGGTGAGTATTTGTGGGGCGAACAAGTGTCTTCATTGATAATCTTCATCTTGTTACGTGGGGGTACGCCGATGGGGGCCGCGAACTGGAACTCATCCTGAGGGGTGACAAAAGGGTGCTCTTCTTTGTAAAACAGGCTCAACTTTCATAGAAACTTTTTATCTGATTTCCTTATGCATTCATCAACAAAATAATTTTATTTTAATTCCATCCTGATATTATAGAAACGTTGTTTTCTCTCGTCAAATATTTTAACTGATATATTTATATTTTGTTCCCCCCCCCCCCCCCCCCTTGAAAATTTGAAAAATATCCCATTAATGAAATTTTTCAAATGAGAAATCTATTTGCTGGTCTAGGTGCAAGGATAATGCAAATTACAGTAGTATGTATGCCACACTGTTATAAAATTAAGTAGAATCAAATATTTATTTGACTTTGATTTTGTTGATGAATACAATAATGGACTCTCAGACAACAGAATTACCCATCACCAAAGCATTGCTACACAAGCACCTGTCACCATAAATCCTGGTTTTATGTGGGAGTTACTTCCCTTGGCATGCTGTTGAAGATTTCCTAGTATATATATGTTATGTTAATATTAAAGGACAGGACACATCTTGGGCAAAACAGATTTTAATTTGTTATTATAACTATTGATATTGAAGAGAGTTAGTTTTAGATCGTGAACAGCAAGTTAATGGTAGAATACAAAAACTTGAAAACAAGGAATGTATTTAAAATATGAATATTGAAGAGAGTTAGTTGTAGATCATGAACAGCAAGTAAATTAAAGAATACAAAGACTTGCAAACAAGGGAATGATTTAAAAAGATAATGAAAGGATTGAATATGAAAAGAACAGCTAATTTAATATGCGAGTTCCACTATAGGGAAATGTGAGAAAAAGAAACTTCTTGACATCCTTAACAAGAAAAAAATATCTGTGACTTCAGAGTAAAACCATTACAAAATATATTGTACAATTGGAGATTTATCGACCAAAACATTTTTCCAACAGAAATTATTGAAATCAAATTTAAACATTGATTTCTGGAAAAATCCAAGAAAACTTTATATTAATTATGAAAATATTTATCAATTAACATTTCAGAAAACCTAACCAAATAATTTTCATTGGAAATTATTTTTATTGGCATCTGTGCTGATTTTTTTGTCATCATTATTTGAGAGGTTTGTATGATTTTCCATACTTCCCTAGAAATAAACATTTGTATCTGCCAAAAGTAATATGATCCAATTTAATTGTTAAGCTAAATTTTCCACTTATTTGCGATGTCAGAAGTTGCTTTTTTTAATGGAACTCATGGATGAACATGTATTTATCTGGCACATGCATATATATGACAGGAAGGATATAATGAGATGAGGAATGAAAATGATGAATGATAAAAAAACATGAATGGCCACCTCAATGTTTCTCGATACATTCAAATAATCAAATCTATACCAAACTCACGACTCATATCATATTTCATTAGAAGTAACATAATTTTTAAGCATTTTAATGGTCTATTTGGGGCTTAATTTTAGCCTTTTTTCCTTCGTGAATATATTAAATCATACATATTTTAAAATATTGTGAAAGTGCTTAAATATTTTGGTTCAGATTTTGTAAAAATTGCAGTTCTATGATGTTATATTAGAATTGACAATAGAAGATTCTTCCACAAATAATAAGAATCTTCACGCATTATTTGAATGTATGACGTAACATACTGCCAAAGTGGACATTTACACAAATTCTTAATTCAATTAACGAGCCTCGTTAACCTGTAAAACAAACACTGACAAACATGAACTGTTTATTCAGAACATCGATTGTGATTTGCAATAGTTTGTGATTACTTCATGGAATTTTACAATCTTCACGACACATCTTACTAGGCTTTCCGAGTTGCCCTTGAAGTGTTTAACAACCCAAATAGAATAGCATTTGAAAAAAGTCCCTTATCTACGACATGTTAAAACGTGCGTTCAATGTCTAAAATGCTTATATACAAGGAAAGTGATACTTTGACGCTTTTTTCTGGTAATAATTATAAATTGAAACAATTTTTCCCCCAATTTGACAATTACAGATTGTCTATAGTTTTCCCAGAACACAAGTAAGTGCAGTAAATGTTTAGGTTTGGTCCGAGTCTTTCTTCTGTTAATCGATGAGTAATCACAAAATAGCTCAGCAACAATACGAGTGGAATAGTGAGTAAGGACAGAGCATGCTACTGAACAGTGGGGTTACCAGCACATTCCTATCTCCTGCTGAGAGGTTCGTAGAAATTACGTGCAAGAATCTCAATATTAGTAAGTCATTATAATCTGTATTACTATTATATAACTATTAAGATTTACAAATTATTTACAAATTGTTTGTTCAAAGCTCTTTTTAGGAAGTAATTGTTACATATACCAAAAACTTGTCTTTCTAAAATTAGCTGCGTATTTGCCGTCATCATGACGTTACTTTTGTTAAAGGAATGATTTTGATTTTATCAATTAGTGCATATTAAATGAATTATTTCAGATCACATCATCAGGTTTTTTTAGTGTTTTTTTTTCCAGAATTATTTTACTGTAAAAATTACACTTCCTTTAAACCACCCTAATATCTAGATTTACCTAGTAGAATTATGAGGTGCCACAGAATTCAGTCATAACATGTGAACTTACCCTTCCATCCCTCTCGAGGTCCACACCGCTGTCCTGGGAACTGTTCTCGTCGGAGAAGAACTTTGGCCGGATGAGTCTCGTCACCTCTTGGTCAGTGTCCAGACTTTCCGAGCTGTTGTCAGCATCAAGGTCACTGAAGGTCAAAGTTCGCTTCTCGTTCTCCTTGTCCATGTCACCACTGAAGTCAATCGGACTAAGTCTCATCATGGGAAGCTACAAAAAGATACAGATGTGTTAATAAGTATAAAATTAAGGCTGTTACAAGGTGGTTTTTTTGGGAGGTGATTTTTCAAAAAGTTTTAAGTAATCAGCCTGTATTCAGCTTTGAAAATAAAAAACGCTATACTGACAACTGATTCAGAAGAAGGTTACTGTCCTAGCTTTCTATCAGAAAACCGGAGACACTGCAGATCAACTTTACTGAACATCAAAGTAACGTCTTTCACATATTTGTTTTTATATATATAATCTACAAACTAATTCTGTTTCTGGTAACCTTATTAAAACTTCTTTTGGACATATTACCCAGCTGTTCAATTGACTAGTAAAAATTGCGTTTTGGGGGACTTATGATTTCCCCCCCAGTTAACTCTGAGTTACCTCCCGTCTACCACTGCTTCTATGTTTAAAGATATTTTGAGTGCAGGAGATTTTTTATTTTTTTTATTTAGTAAAGAATTGGAAAATTATTACTGTCTATCCTATAAAGCTTCATTCAGAATTTGTGTCTCATGAAAGTATAAAATTGTTGAATCTCAAATGATTCGAGGTCAAAATAGACATGACTGTTGATCTCCATTGTAAAATTAGGGAAAATGTATGAAATATCTCCCACAGAAAACAGAACTATTTATGGTAAATATTCTTACATCATTGTAAAGCTGAATAAAAATATGATTCCCCCTTACCCTACCTTCTTTATTATTTTCAAGCACAACCCTTGATCCCCCCCCCCCCCCCCCCCATTTTCAACAAGCACTGTTAAGATCAAGATAACTTTCCCATACCGGATACAAAATATCTTAAAAAATGAAAATGTTCACCTAAATTCCACCCGAATTTTTCAGACATATAGCGAAAAAATGAATTCATATTTCTGTCTTGTTGGACCTTAACTCATATTTGTGTAAGGTGTGTTGAATATTTTGCATTCATAAAAAAAATCTAAATTTCCCCCCACTTGTAAAACATAACTACTATTGGCCGAGAAACCATGAATATCCTCCATTAAAAGGATGCAACAAAAATATAAATTCAGTATTAAAACATGATACCTAGGAATACCACTTCAAAAAAAAAGTATCAACATGATGATTTCATAGTTAAGTTTATTTCATCTATTTTTTAAAGTATCATTTATTCTAGGTAAGATTAACTACAACTTGACATTAAAATCTTTACCGGTCCTTGTATTTAAAAAAAAAAATCAATACAAAACTTGTTGGTGTAAGGATTCAAAATGATTTACTTAAGGACAAACAAATATAGATCTATTTATTGAGTTTTGGATAGTTCCCGAAAATATTGTTTTGAAAGGATTAAAAACTAACCAGGTTGAACAACCATGTCAAGTATCCTTCGAAAAATGATTTTGTCCTCATCATACATTGGGATGTATTAACAAATTCAAACATGACTGCAGAGTGTAAATAATGTAAAATTAACTAGCAAACTAACCAAAATATTCCAATATTTTTATTTCTAGGTTTTGTTGACGACATAACCCTATACCACTATCCTTCGATAATGTTGGTTTTATATACCTGATGATATAAAAAGGAATAAAATAAATAAATAAAAAGAGTAAAAACTTTCAACAACATTTTGCAAATATCAATGAAAAGTAACATGGAGACTGTTATCAGGATCAACAAATAAAATAAATAGTTGGGGTAAAGTGCTACTCCCTGTGGCACTGTCGGCCCTTTTAAAAAAAAATATTCATAACATTTAATTAGGGACTTTTAATTGTTAAACACAGGAGCTGTCTTGTCAAATGAAACATTTTACTGCTGTAGTGTTACATAGTTGTATGATTTTCATTATAAAAAACCCCAAAACACATTTGTAACATAAAATGTACCAAAGATCATACAAACAAGTGAACTTATACCGAAGTTTTGTCATTTATAAGGTTTACATTCTATAGATAGTAGATATCAATTCATCTTTATATCGAACACATAATGAACTATTGAATCATCACAGTTTAGGAACATATCAAAAATTTATCACATAATTTAACCTTTAAAAACCTTTTTTTAACTTTAGCAAATTCTGATTAACAAGCTATATGAAATTTCCATGTAAAATACCTTAAATTTGATTTTTTTCAACCAATTATTCTACAAATCTTTTGATATGTTACACACAAAAACCCTGCCAGTATCTCAGTTATACACAGATGAATCTGATAGAATGTTACCCGAGAGAGCATCTAGCACTTACCCAAGTGTCACAGCAATACTGAATGGTGTTATGATACAAGTGAAGGAAGTCGCTCCCCAACACCAATTAACACACAGGTAAGTCAGGAAATGGTAAGTACAGGTAAATATGTCCAAAGTGACCAGTGTCCACTAATAGCAATAAAATGATTCGGAGTACTCACCGGCATTGACTGTATCCTTCTGAAGGCGATTGTCTTCTTCCTATTGGTGAAAGATAAAACTCAGGTGTGAAATATGCAAATGAGCTTCCTTTTTCCCCCCTGTACTAATTGGTTTACAGGTAACACTTAATTAGAGTCAGTCACAGTAGCTATTTTTTGCGTATTGATTAAGTTTGGGTTAGTCGGTGGCGATCTGACATCTGGAACCAGCAGAGGTCAGTCACAGTAGCCAGGCTTTAGTTTGCGTATTAGATGAATCTCAGGTAAGTTAATCTGACATTAATTACCTGTGTGGCCAGCCAGGTTGCAAGACCAATGCGTATTGATAAATCTCAGGTAAGCTGACATCTATAAATAAGCTTTGTAAATGGATTAAAAGGCGTGTATTATCAATTTCACCTTGGACAGCCACAGTGGCTGTATACTGGGTAGGGAAGTGGGTGTCTACCTGTGACCAGGTGAGGCTCCCGAAAGTCTCCCTTACCTGTCCAGTACCCACGTACTAAGTCTACCTATCCCTTATCACAGGTAAGCATCTCACCTTCCCTAGACAACAAGTCTAGAAGTCACAGCAGCAGACCAGTGTCATAAAACTAAACTAGGTACAATCAAGTTGCTTGAAAATGATTGACACCTCCCCTCAAACCATTAATGTTTTATGTTGACAAAATATAAAAAATAATTTCAATTAAGACATTTGAAAATTAATAACAGAGTTTTCTCAGGATATTCATGCAACTTTGAACAGTTCAATTTTCCTAAATATAATGATGTTGAATTATGAAATATGACATGCCCATCATACACACCATAATAACACAATACTCATGATCCTGAACTTTGAAATTGCACAGCATACAAACCTTAATAATGAAGAATTTTGTCCAATAAAATCAGATTTGAAAGCGGTTTAGAACTGATCATCTATATTATAGATAGAATGATCTTCAATTCTTACAGCATGCTTTATATAACAAATTTATATGAAAACTGCTCAAAACTTGGCACAGGAATAATGGAGTAAGAATGTCTGACCAGAGAGATGTATACTTTAAACAACCACTTACCTGTCCCTCTGTCTCCTTCAAACTGGACACATATCCTCTATTCATGTATATATACTTATCAAAATAAAACTTCAAACATCACACAAACATCTCAGCTCCCTGTTTTCCCACTCTCAGCCCAATTAGCACACCTGAGTTCAGGTAATACAACCTACCCATATTGTACCTGTCCTCTGTATCAAATAATATAATATAATAACTGGATATATTACATAGAACTGTCTACTCACTTTGTAAATGCCTCAGGAGGTATGTCCGGTTTGATGTTCTTGGCAAATCTGTGCATGCTGGAAAGACAAGAGACGGAACTGTCAGGTAAAAATTCTCACCTCGACAAATAGGTCACACCCACCTAACTACTGGGCACCAGGTCCAACAATAGACAGGTAATTTTAATCAGGTGATCAATCTAATTAGGGCATGATGTCTGTACTCTAGGTAGACAGGTATAACTGTAATCTAATTACCACAGGTAAAACTAAAATCCAATTAACCTGTATATTTTCCCATTGAAACAAATACTAAAAGTATTTGTCAGGTATAACTTATATGTCACACTGACATGGGAAATTCTTTATTTGAGTAATACATTTAAAACTGTCATTTTTTTATATATAAATATAGTAAAAAAAATCTGCTTTATTTTGCTTATATATATATCTATCTTCATTAAAATGACATATAAAAGGCAACAATTTTCAGATATTATATTTCATACTTGAAAACTCTCCCTATTTAGAGGGAAGACTCTGGAATATTACCACTTAAATTCAATATTTCCAACCATTGAACATTTTTAACTATTTCTATATTATATACTTAGATCTAATAAGATCAACTCAAAACATGCCATTTTAAAGGGTTATTTTGTCCCAAAGGGCGTATACACACACACACACTTAATTTATACTATTAATTTTGAGCAATTTCAAAACATAGGCAAGCATGATAATGTCTATCAAGTTTATATCAGTGTTAGAACAGCGACTTACCAATATTTCTCAGATGTGTCGGTATCAAGTTTCAGAGTTGTAATGATATGGGGAAACAAAGATTCAATAGGTCCTACATGTGGGGATAGTTTACTGATGGTTTGGAATACAATGGCTGGCTTCAGAGTTTCCATTGCAATTTGAACTTTGTGACAGTTATGGAATATGATAACGTGAAGCAGATGGTAGCCTGGTGGTATGTTATACATTAACATGGTACAAACAGGGGTGGGAAGTGTAAGATAAACTACTTCATTGTTTCTGTACATATTGTGATGCTAGTTCTATTTACAAACAATCTTTAGACATTGGGCTTCAACATTTGAGCAAAGAAAAGGGATTTTTGTTGTCTCTGCCCAGGTGCCGGTGTAAAATGTTGGGTCAACCCCACCTCTGTTCCGATCCCTTACATGGTGTTTCAGTAATATTTGTACTGGGTATATGTGTTGTGATTGGTATTTTGAGACAATGGCCAAACGTTTGTTTTTTGGCTTCAATGTAAGTATGAGTAAAACAAAATGTAGCGTTCTCCCTTTTTGCAGCGAGTGTAAACTGTTGTGATAACTTTGTATGCGAGGACAACACTGTCTCCCCCTACCCTGGGTAGGTGTTTGGACAAGGCAACAGGCCCAGCACAATGCTATCTAGAGCTGGATGAAACTGATATGACAATACCTTGCTATCCAACTTAGCATAATGTTACACAGGTGTTAATTTTGTTGTGTCAACCCCAGCACACTTTTCGTACAGGTGAAAATAAACTTAGCAGGACTCCACTCATCCAAGATTACCTAGTCTGGGGGGGAGGGCGGTGTGGTCAGTAACAACTTGCTAAGCAATTTGACCACCAGAATTAGGCAGAAACAGGTCAATCAAATCCCATTTATTTACATATTTTACACCAAATGAGAGGTTTTTTTTGTAAGTATCTTTAGCTGGTAATGTGCACACATTAATAAACCCATATAGCCTAACTATCAAGTTATTAGCAGTGATCAGTTTTAGCCTTTAGGCTTATGGACCTATGGCCATAGAAATAAGTTTTTCTCAAAAAACCTTGATTTATCCTAGGAATAAAGGAATTGTGCAGCTACGAAAAATGTAGACAACAGGTAAACCACTTCTACAAATGTCCATTCAAAATAATTAACTGAAAGTGGCAGGTGTGGTGAAATTTTAATGCCAACCGAAATTACTAAAATGAATTTCCAAAAGAATTTTATCATCCACTTGACCTTCTAAAAAGATATGGAATCTGTAGAATGGCTAAGTTTCGACTTGGACAGGGATACAACACTACATTTTCCAACAATTAAATTTGTCCATTTTCAGATTGGAACATAGATTTTGCTATATAACTTTGGTAACGACTTTCTCCCCTGGTGTTTGTTTGTCTTATGTATTTATATATATAATGTTAATTTTACCTGGATTTCAGTTTCTAATGTAGTTAATTAACTCATACCTAATGTAATATTTTTACATCATCAAAGCGTTTGGGAAAAAGGAAAAAAAACTCCATGAGTACTTGATTCCATTTCTAGTTGGGACATTTATCTATGTTTATCAAGAGAGTTTACTCTTTGAAATGAACATCAAAATAATGGGTCACAAAAAATACATCTGTTGGAATCATTCAATCAAGCAAAAATCCTTATAAACAAAAGGGAAAAAAAAATTCTGTTGCAATTTATGTTTTAGTATTAGGTTGGTGTTTAACATTACAAATTACTAAACATTTGAAATGTATGTCGAAGACCATAAAATCGACCGTTACTAGTGGTGAAAATCAGTTGAAATTATATATCCATTGGTTAACTCGATGTTTGTTTCAATTTGATAACATTCTGTCAATATTATTTTTTTAGCAGAGCACCTTTTCCCCTATAGCAATTTATCACAAAGGGAATTGCAATACATCCTTCTTGTATTGCAGTACACTTCAGGCGTAGTTTGACTAGTGTGACCTCGTCAATTTCTGATCATTTTCAAATATCATTTGTTGATAATGCTTTCTTTCATTTCATGCATTTTTTTAATAACTTTAAATGAAAATTCAATTAAGTCTGATTCATGGGTTTCTTTTTTACTTTCTGCTTCACAATTCTCCTCGAACAACAATTAGTGCTGTTGACAGTCCACAGAAATATATACAATTGTTATTAATAACTACTGACAAATCACAACTCAGAAATCTGTCAAACAGTAGAGACAGATTCATCAACTGTCTGTCACAGAATCTACTCAAGGCAGATTATCTATGTGGCTTCCTGGAGATAAAAAATTACCTGGTAAGACAAACAGTTTCATTTAGCCCCAGCTGTCATTATCCCATAATAGCTAATGTAAACAGGTAAGGTAATGGTAAGCATCACACTTTAATTAAAGGGACAGATGGCAGGAATTTGATTGGCTCACCTGCTGGCCCTACCTCAGGTAGACACAGGTAGGAATACCTGTGTTATGTACCTTTCTATAAAACCTACAGGTATATCAACAAGTTGATTGGATTGTTTCTATTTCAGTCTAGAGCATGTCTCATAATCAATTACTCCGGTTTTGAAGTATAGCTCACAAATAAACGCTGACAAATACAGTTGGCTATAGTAATAAATGGAATATGAATTTCTACTATATTTGATTTTCCTTTGTTTGAAACTGCCTTTGAACTATTCTGACAAGATAACTTTTTATTGAGATAGCCGAAACGAACAGTTGCACTTTCTGCTGCTTAATCAATAAGCATACCTTCCCCATTGAAACCTTTGGATTTTTTTTGAACAATGACATTTATTCTCTGCCCATTTCCTGTACGACACACAAAGGTATGGGGGTCATGCACCTTTTCGGTATTTAGGGACATCTGCTACTGTCTAGCAGCTTGCAGTGTAATCCAATTTACATTTTTATGAACGAGACCTGGACAGGCTGAAGATTTCTTTGCAGTCCCTTTATCAGTCTCTAGGTCGCCAGTAGGCCATTGCTCCAGATTTTTTCACAACCAGGAGAGATTTAGAGCTGGGCCCTATCAGATACATTGTTTAGGGCTTTCACAAAATGGTGTCTGAGGCAACAGCTTGGGGACAGGGGCACTTATCTGGGGTCAGGTTCCTGCTAAATAGAGGGCCAGTTTATAGTGTTTGTGATTGGTCCCCCCATCTGCCAACTTTGTAGGGACAAAACTTAGGTGAATGGAGTAAATAGGATTATCTCTAGTATAAACTAAGCTAATCTACATAACTCCCAAACAAACAGGGGCATGGTGGGGCTGCTTTCTTAGATTTCATCAGAAACAGGAAAACAGGAGAAAGCCAAGCCAGCCATTGGTCAGTAGGATTAGTGGTATTACTAGGCCATAAATCTGACCCTGTCTGCAGGCTTGTCCAGTATGACATAACAACAGTACAATGAGATGAATGAACTCATTTTACGCTTCATTACACACCCTCTGAACCCTGACCCAGACAAGGGAGACCACCACACAACAACTGTAGCCATTGTCCGATAGTCTATAGGAATCAGACAATGACTCAATTCACTGTTTGAGTTATTTGTGTATGTGATGTCTATTTACCAGAATACCATTTCAACACCCATGATAATTATTGTGGAGGGCTTGAACAGAGCAACTGATTTGATTATCAGTGGGTGCCCCACTAATTTAGATGCAGCCCTAGTCAAGATAAAACTCCTATTTATAGTGGTTCATTACCACATTATAATGAGAAGTTTTTCGTTTGTGTAAACAACAATCATTTTACACAATACAATTATATTTGTAGATGTATACACCTATAAACATGACTGATATACAGTTATTTTTAAAATGCATTGCAATCAAAATGCAATAGTCATTAGAATTATGTTTATTTACTTGTATGTTTTTAAGCGTTTAAACAACAGAATATTTGTTGACCATGTTTTTTTTCAATTTATGATCCGGACAATAATTATTCTGTTCAAATATCTCTTCATTTAGTTCTTTGAAGTGCTATACATCTTAATGTGTAGGCAGAAATTAAAAATTCTAACTAGTAAAAGTCTGTGTATAATTTCATTGTTGGACTCAATTAGAATACTGAAAAGACTTTTTTTATTATGAAAAAAATGATGCATGTATATATCCCTACAACAATTATAATTAATTTGCCCTACAATTAACTGGAGGAAGTTAGGCAATATACAACCTGTTATTATGTACAAGGTTGTCAGGTTACATAGTACTGCCCCATGGGAGCCAGCCCTGCTCCCTAGGGGTTAGTGTCATGCCTACCACAGGAAAACACAATCCACCAGGGGATTCATGCATCAGCAGAGGCCGCTAATTAATACAAGTGGGAGAAAATAAGCCCTCCCTCTACTCTTAATAACTGTGACATAGAAAACATATGTAGGCCAGTAACTTTATAAAGATATGATCAAAATTGTGTAATTGTTGGAAAATATTTTAATATTAAATAATGCTTTGCAATGAAATAAACAAGGAACACAGTTAATCCTGGCATTAATTTCCAAGTGGCAGCTTTAAGCTAGCACACATGATTCTTGAGGAAAGATTTCATGGTTTCCTTCTTTTTTCAATTTCTTTCTTCCTTAGTGAAAATATGGGTTTTATTCAGGTTAAAATATTGGATCGGTAGTATAATTGGCTCATGGAGTTTTGATTATTCAGAAAGTTTAATTCATGGATTTAATTGATCCTAAAGAATAAGTATTTGAATGAATTACATCTAATTTGATCAAATACAGAGAGGTATATATTCCTGCAGGGTCATAATTGACCTCAAAGGTTACTAAACTTGACTGAGATGGACCTTGAAGTTGATATTTTGTCAAGGTGTTTACAACCCCCAATAAATTGTGCCATGCTTCTTTTGAAGCAAAATAGAAGCCCTTAACTGGTGATGTAATCTTACATCAAGTAGGAAGTGGACAAGAAGTTGGAATTTACAACTACCCCTTACATGGACTAAAGGGTAGGAAATTGATTCTAGGATCAAAGAGATCATGTAGTAGGAGTTGTAGTCACCTGGTCATGTTACCTGTATATGATGCAACAGGTAGGCCAATATCAATCCATCAACAGCTGACCAATACTGACCAGAGGTCAAGCTAAATCACCATCTACCAGTCAGACATTGCACAAGTTTTGGGTATCATTTTTACACCCCCAATGACAAGAGAAATATAGGCCAATATAATCAGTAATGAAGTCATAAATATTCCCCTAGCCTGAACATAATCCTGGCATAGTGATTATGATACTGTAATACAGAGCCAACAGGCATGATGTATTAGTCCCAAAATTGGCCCCCAGATAATCAGGCATAACACTTGGTATTGCTTTCCACATATGCAAAAACTATAAGCATAAAAATGTTTTTTTTTCTCTCTCTCTCTCTCTCTCTCTCTCTCTCTCTCTCTCTCTCTCTCTCTCTCTCTCTCTCTCTCTCTCAAATTCGTTACAAAAACAAAGGTGTATATTAATTAAAATTTCACTACCCTGGCACCCATGATAAGTTTAATAAAAATTATGATCAGACTAGTTTGAACGGTCTATATTTATGTCTAGTGGACTTTTTCAAAATCTGCCTGCAGACTACTTCTATAAATATTAAATTGTACACTTCTAAAAAACAAACTTCACAGAAATGAGTACTGTATAAACATTAATGACATAAAACAAATTTGAAGCGAAAAAATACATCCAGATTCTAAATTTAGATATTAACCTCTATAACTATAGCAAGACTATCTTTTAATTTTTATTTCTTAGACAGCTAAGGGATTATATATATTTTGTCTGTTTTATAAATGATACTTAATTCAGACAAAAGACAGACTATAATTTATACTGCCTTATCAAAAATAAATATAACTTACATTTTATATTACATGGTTAAGTTGTAATAAATAAATTAACAAAAACAAACATCCAGTTGGTGGGTCACTTAGTGTGGGCTAGATATGATATCTCCAGTACTCCCGACTATAATACAATCCATGCTTGTTCTGCCTGAAACCCTATCTTGTACACGGCGTGTAATATTATACAAGGCTGTACATTAGGGGTGCAGCACTATAAGACCTGATTATATTGGGAAGTACACTGAACACATGTAACATTGCCTCATATAGGAAGTAGTTACAAATCTATATCTACCATTACCAGCCTTACATCAATGAAAATTGATTTCCTGATCAAAGAAGATTTCTACCCTTGTAAAATGTTTGGGACATAGTTATTATGTAATCTGTAGGTCAATATCAATCCATCAATAGACTGACCAGAGGTCAGTTATGACCATTCAAGCCTGATATGTAGAATATTCTATTTTAACAAGCTGACTCGCCATATAAGATCATGAAAATTTTCAAGAATCTGACCTTATGATCATGCCGGCATAAAAATGGTGAAATAAACTTTTGTACCAGTTCTTATTGTCAGTTCTTAGGCCTGAAAAATACTTGTCATATTGCCAGAACGTTCCAAATGGTGTTCAAAGTATATCCGACTCCTTTTTCTGTTTCAATCAGGTATTAAATTGATCTTTATAATGTAACTTGTAAAATCCGAAAATCTGGCCAATTTATTTCCTCTCTACATTTCCCAGAATAAACATTTCAGCAAACCGTTAGCCTCATACAAATAACTCTGCTAATTTAATGGACAAAACCTGGTACAAATAATATGTATCCTGACCCCATGATTCAGACTTAGTTAGGAGAAAGTGCCTGGAGCCTGGGCGAGGTACACCAGCTGAGGTCTAGACAAACTGCTTGTTACTTGTCAGTTGTAGCATCAGACAATGGTTAATGAATTTATCATGATCACCAGCTAGTAAAGTTAGGCAATCAAGAACTGTTTCCCGAATTTATACCATTCAAATGAAGTGTATATGTAGGGCACCAAATGAAACAGATATGATTGATTTGAGAAGACTGAGTTTAAAAAAAAAAAATAAAAAAAAATGCTGATATTCATTGTTCTCCTTCCCATTTAATCCTCATATTGTAATTCAACTTTTAAAATTCATCTTGCGTGACAGACTTGTTATCAATTTCAAGAACAAGTCTACTTCAATTGTATAAATGTTTGCTTTTAAAGTATCCAAATATAAAACAACAACTACAATGTATCTCTGACACAAATTATGTTGAAGATAAAATCAAGGACACCTTACCTCATTTCCAGTGTAGGTGAGTCGAGGGGAGTTGGAGAATCCACGAAGCATCCTGAAATATAATATGATGTGATTAATTTCAAAACAAATCAAAATCTCACATGTTAAATCAAAACATATCAAAAGAAATATAATTAAAAAATGTATGGAGACTGAAACCTATATTTTAAGAATGAATATTAAATAAAATTGTGTAGAATATTTTGGACTTCCTATCTGAAAATTGTTTCAAAATATAAGATATAATTAAAAGAATACTTATAGAAATTTACCTTCTTGATCCAACATAATTCCCAACGAAAAACTATAAGTGATGTTCCAACGAAGGGCCTCTGATAAATGACCACTCAATAAATCTTCAAGTCTACTGTGAAAGTCATAACAATATCACACTGTTGGTGCTAGGTTGGATAATACCAACAAAAGACTTTTCAAATTCTGACACTCTCTGAATGAAATCTAAAGAATATTAAAATGACAGTTTGGACTGCAGGGACCCTTTGAACTTTTCTCACTGCCCGGTAAGTCTTGTTGTCAACCGGTTGCCTTGTAATGCCAATACCCTATAACTGTTCTTCAGAACTATTGAAATCATAATTTCACCCCAAGCCAAATATGTATTTTCTATAAATAAAACTTGTTTTGGTTGTACAGGTAGCACTGGGTATGGGGTACCTGTCACTTCAACTGTCAGCCAGCTAGTTTGAAGACTTTATGCACTATCTACAAATGCACTATTCCCCCAGGGTCAAAATCGACTTGAGATGCAAAAAATGATAATTCTTGACAATGGAGCACATTGACATAATCCATATGATACAATCATTATACATTCTGACTGGTTACACTTGCTTGACCATAAAGGAATTTTTATGCAAGCAATTAATTGCATCAGTGATTTTCAGTAAAATCATAACCTGCAGGGGTAATGTAACAAAAAAACATATTTTGACAATATGGACAAAGGTAACAATCGGGGAAAAAGACACAGATCAAGTTCCGATACCTCTGACTTATATTTGTTTAGTCAAGGATAAACCTATCACTTTCTTCACAAGATCATTTGCAGTAAAATAATATTAGAAAGAAAACATTTCTATAATCTGAGCTAAAAGAGTTATAATATTTGTCTTGCTTGTAAATGTTATTATACTTTTTTAGTATGAACAGCTTAAGGCAACTCATATCATTGTATTTTGGCCTGTATATAAATGTACAGCAATAATCAAATTTGATTTTGGCATTACAAAAATTGAATGCTATTCTTATTTGCTTAGACACATTTTTTTTATATGAAGACAGATATGATTAATTGTCAACTATTTAACATATTTATTAATCAAACTATTATGAGCTTTAAAATGTTCATTATTGTAAATGTTTACCCCTATGAAAATGTTATGAAATAAGAGATCAAATTAATAAAATGGTTCATTTGTGGGGAAAGAATCCATAAACAGCAGGAAATGCTATCCTCCTTTAAATGGTTAACCTCTATATTAATTGCAATTGTATTCGCAGCCACAACATTGGTTAAGTGGGAACAAGGTATGCGTTACCTGTGCTGTAATGTTTAAGTAGGAAGTGAAAGTAGAACTGCACAGGTAAAGTGAACGCTATGGAAAAACAATTTTGGTATTCTAATGAATTCCACCCTGCAGCTACGAAGGTTTTCATACCTCAGAGTGTCCAAATGGCCATTAAAACTGTGACTAAATGTAACAAAATTCCTTTGCCCATCTGTCTTCCCTTTTTTACCTCACTTCCCATTTCCTCCCCAGGCCAATCATTAATCCTTGCAAAAACTGACCAGGTAAGCTAAGGGGCGGGGCAAAAAACACAAATGTATTCAGGTATTAGGTAAAATAAGAGTTCCATTGAATATCAATTACTAAGTGTGTGTACTTATATTCTATGTAACTTCCTCTTCTCTTTACTCAATACAGCATTAGAAGGATATCCCACTCTTACGTGACACTGACAAGGTTGTTATAACTAATTAATTACATAAACTGAAGTTTTAATACCCAAAGCCAATTATACATACAACATCCACAGGGAAGTGTAATAAAGACAACTTTAAAAAAAGATTACGAAAATGGTTTACCTTCATTCAACAACTTAACACACTTTATTTGAGGATTTAATTGTAACAGATCTTGGGTAAAAAATCAAATGTAATTAATACAAATAAACAAGTGGTAAATTTTAGAATAAGCAAATTCATGTAAATTTCTAATAACCCCTAAAATACAGACAATTAAACTTTTTTTCTCTGTCTCAAAAAGTAATAATTGATAATCAATTTGACAAAGTTGGGGAAAGATTGGCTCGAGATGTTTGTACCTGAAATTAATGCATTGATAGTCAAAGATAAATTATAGCCAGTCTTGGTTATATCTGCTAGTACCCAAAATGAAACATGACTTGCATTTTGCAATATCAACCAAATATTTGTTGGTATTTTAACATTTAATCATGTTCTTAGGAATATTCCAAACAAAAAGCATAATCCTGCATGCATCATCTTTAAAAAAAACACTTAATGAATAGCTTATGTGCTTCATGATAAAGGTTGGACATAAAGAACAATCAAAATTTCTTGAAACAATTATTAACTTAAGGTAGATGATATTGTTAGAAAAAACACAACAAATGTGATAGATATGATGCTTATATTTACAGCATTAATTATTTGATAGCATTCTATATTTTTATAATATACATGTACATATCAAAATATAGTCAATTCAAATCCTATAACAGTAATTACCCGACTCTGTAGAACTCATTCTTTCCGGAGTTGGGTGACATGATGATGATGGTGTATCAGTACTTGACAATGAGAGTTTTCTTCTAGGTGTACCTCTGAAAAAATATTGCATATTTGCGCTTAGTTAATCATTGTAACATTCATTTCTTATGAAATAATGATATTTTCTATTTTGAACTGTAAATTACAGGTCCAGTACACTCGATTGAGCTAAATATTGAGCTATATTTCCCCAGATTTCAATTTTATTAAATTAAAGCAGTCGCATATAACAATAAGGTTTATGGTAATGTTGACTACAAAAAGCATACATTTAGATGTTTATTTTAATTTCCTGTTTTTTATTTACATCATTATTTTTTAAAAAGAATACATAAATTTCATGTTTCGTTTTCCTTAAAAAAGAAAATCACATGAAAATAACTTAAAAGACCTGTTTCATATAGGTCAAGAGAGCTATTTTAGGTGTTTCCAGCTAATATAGCTCAATCGGCAGAGTGTACTGTAGTGGACCTGAATTGACTGTCATAACATTGTAATCAAAAATACACATATCAAAACATGTTTGCAGTGTTGGCTTCAATGTTCAATCAAGCATGACAAACGAACGTCACTCACAAATACGGTAGGCCAATTTTAATTAGTATATGTCGATAGACAACAACAAAAAATAGTTATTCGATATTTTTTAACAGAATAACATTTTACATGGTTTATGTCAAAATAAATGTCAAATGAGCGAGCGCTATCAATAATAAAGTCATCCACATCAAGCCAATTTAGTCACTCCATCAGATAAGCATTATGTATATTCTTACCTCCCTGTTGACAGTTCGCTTAGGTTAATAGCCAGATTTGACATCGGAGAATTCATCTTGAATGGTCCAAAGTTCCCAAAACCGAAAGCAGGTGAAAGTGTATTACTGGTTGCTAAAGTTCTCAAAGGCAAGTGCAGTGAAGGTCGACCATGTTCACGTCTGCTTTTAGACATCTTCCATTACTTGGGTCACACACAAATAGTAAGCCACTTATACAGAACAAGTCCAAGCCACGAATATTCACAGTTTCCCTTTAGATTTGTTAGCATCAATGTGAGAACAACTTATCAGCTGGCGAAGCTGTCGAGTGTCGTGTTGTCACGGGTTGGCAAACCTCGTATTTCGGAACGTACGCACGCTGTATCTTCGAAACACAGCACGCCCCAGATAAACAACAGACTCAAGATGACATGTGGAAGAGAGAGTACAGTATGCTTCTTTCAAGTCTACCTGGACATCATCGTTGACTGTTTTTCTTACATTCTATTGTTCATAGCATTAGATGTGTCCAGGCAGATAGGCCGCCGCCGTAGAGTTTGAAAAACAACACAGAATTAACCAATCAGAATTCGCGTTTCTTAGCATGTGTAGACAGGAAGTTGTTTCGGTGGCAAGCACCTTATTAACTTATTCGAGAATAAAGTATATTTTTTCCTGAATTTACTATTTGCATGTGATATAGTTAAGGCAAAATGTAGAATTTGGTAATTTTTAAACGATGTTTAAAATTGTAAAAATATCTCATGAATATTCATAATGTGTATTCGAAGGAAATGCGCTTGCGTGGAGAGCTGGCGCGAAATATGCTGGACATAGGGATCACATTCGTAGGGACATTTTAGGCTAACGACAAAACTATATACGATATATTTCTAATCCTTTTAACACATTTTGTTTCATATTCACAACATAGAAAAATGTCGGAAGAGTCACCAAGAAACGAAAGACGACAGAGAACAGCTTTCAGAAGAAGACCCAACCGAAACGACAACACGCAAAGCCAAAGGTAAATATTGCCAAAACTCCCGGGAAATTTTGGCGCTACGCCTAGCGTATAGGCCTATTGGATTTATTTTCAAAGTTATCAAGGATACTAACATATTATTTTATTCTGTTTGCTTTTTATTGAATTGCATGACGAAGCAGACTATTTATACTTTGAAAAGATAAGAAAGTAAAACATACGTTTTTCATTTGTGAAAACAAAGAGGACAGTGCAAATGCCATGTTGTGTTTTTGTTTACAATTCTACCGAGACATTTTCTGCACTAATAATTGAATGATTTGGCATGACATAAATCGACTGATAGAAAATTTAGTTAATTTCCAAAGAGATTGTGATTTTGATAAAATGTTTATTTGAAAGATCACAGAAAAATACACAATGAAACAAACGCTTGAAATAAAAATAAATAAAATAAATTAATTCAATACATGTATTGGAAAAAAAAGAAATCCTATTACAGAAAGATCAAACCCTGCTTGTTTATATTTTATTAACATTTCAGAAAGTTCCAATACATAAAATTGAGTAAGTAAAAAAGAATGATCAAAATCCCAGTGACTTTGATTTACTATATTGAAAACACAGCTTGCCTTTGTGAAACTTGCTCAAAACGAGATAATACTAACAGCTAATACAAACACCTACACAACATGATAGCAGCAGTTCCCATTCTGGACACCATGGACATTGAACATCCGGCAATACACAAAGAAATATACATCATGTAATTGTTTTGTGATTATTGTTGCAAAATTAATTTTATAATTGTTGTTAAATATTTTACATCAGCACACTTGGAGTAAGGGTACGTGATTTCCTACAGGATGTGATTTCGTACAAAATCTTTCCAATCTAGCAAACCATCGCCATTATCCTTCTTCAGGGATGCTAAATATAGAATTTCCAAATAGCCTCGTTTTCAAAACAACACTATCGAGTCGAGCTGTCGTCTGTAGAATGGGCCCGGGAAACTTTAAAGCATAATTTAAAACATATGCTAGCCAATTTTGTTGTGATCAATTTGAGATCATTTAAATGAAATAATATTTTACCATGTTCATGAAGAATATATCAAAAAGAAGCTCAAATATAACTAGAATTGCAATTGTCAGCAATAGTGGAAGTCACCCCTCCATGACTTGGTACACAGCCATTTTTTTTTTAACAAAAAAGAGCACCACAGTTGTGTTCGTAGTGCCATGCTTCACCTATTTACCAAATTTCATCAGAATAGGACGATCGACCAATGAGAGGCCAGAAAATGGCAGCCAATCCGAGGCAAGGAAATGACGGCCTTTTTTTTTTTTACAAAACGAACACAGCAGTTGTGTTCGTAGTGCCATACTTGCATACCAAATTTCATTGAAATTGGACGATATTTAAATTTGGACGAATCAGAAGCCTGCATTTGGCCGCCATTTTGAATCAAAAGTCAAATATTTTTTTTGTTGAAAACAAGCGCTGTGACATTATCATCCCTTTCACCAAGTTTGATTATGTTACGTCAAATAGAACGAATGTTATTACTAACATTCTTAAACATCTTCTATAAAGTGGCTATTTTCCCCTGATTCTTGTCATTATTGACTAGATCTTTCAAACTTGAATATTTCAAAAGTTATAATTTATAACTTTTTAGACTATTGGACAAGGTTCAGCAATATTTTTATTTTATATAAACTAACTGAAGGTTTACCCAAGTTGGTTTTAATCTGGAAGTGCCAAGAAACAAGTCTTGTAATCGCGCAAACTGGGATGGGCATATGATATACAAATGTGAAAGTATAAATTTTGATATTGTATTGATTTTTCAGAAACGAAAGATACTTTTCAAATGGTCCTTTAAGTCCTTTAAGAAGTCCACTGAATCCGAAACAAAGCCAAGGGATCACAAAACATGCAGATGACAGAAGGTAAGGTGAACCAAAGGAATGGCAGGGACTGGATGGATAGCAGTTAGCCCAAGTAGTGCACTAACATAATATGAAAATGTGGAATTCTCTGACACCATTTGGTACAGTATCAAGAGTTTTGAGGTGCAGTCTGCTGACAACAAACTACTAGGCCACAACACATACCTCACTGTCATATATATCAATAAGTTGGTCATTTATTGATCCAAAACCGCCCTTATCACCTTCAGCTGCTAAATTTCATCAATAGAGTCTTCGGTTTTCAAGGGTTCAAAGTTCCTCTCTGAGCGACATGATTTTGTAGGTTGTAATGCAAGTTATAGGGCAGTATCTAATCAACAACATTTACAGTAACAAACTGAATCAGATCAACAAAGAAATTATCTACTGGCAGGAATGTCCAAATGATGACTGTTTTTACTTGCATGTTGAGTTCAAATGCTGAGGTCACCATTTTTTATTTTTTTAGAAGTTTGTCAAACAATGACGCTTCTTTGCATTTCGGGGGTATTCATATCTTAATTAACATTTTCTAGTTATCTAATCAAAAGTTTTTATTAGTTCCATTTTATTCACAGGGAACGACGTGCCTGCTGGAAAGAGCTTGACAATCAGGAGTTTACAAAGATTAGTCTGAAGGATGAAGATTTTCCTGATTTAGGAGTTTGTCGGTTTGTACCAGATATATATATATCAGAAACATTAAGGCCCCAAAAAAATGTATGTTTCCTGTTTCCATACCAACCCTGGATTTTTGAGCCTAATCTAAAGCTTTCATTGGCATTTAGTGATGAGCACTGTTCAAGTCAGAACTTTTTTGCTCTATATAAGGAAAGCATTTTTAAAAAAACCCAAAAAAACCCATCCCTACCTACTGATCTATTTTTTTTCAAGCAGAAGCAGCAAACACATTTTTTTGGGGCCTCATAGATATGGAAGTATAAATAAATAAGCGGTAACCTCATAATCTCAGACTATGACTTAATCCTTCCACCCCTATGTAACTTTAGTAAACTCTACCATGCATTGGTCTGGGTGAGTCCATTGTGGTCTACAGTGGTAAAAGGGTTAAGATCGATCAGGGAAGTTGCTGATTTGATGAAACCAGAATGGCACTAAATTACAGGTGGATATTGTAACGCAAATAAAAATTATTCATGAAACTCTAAAAGTATATACAAAGTGGAATGAAAAATCACTTATTTGTTCTCTCTTTATTTCAGATTCACACCCGAGATAAAACGGAACTTAACCATTACAAGTGATCAGGATGCAGGGGAAAACGAAAGCCGGCGGTATGTTTCTAATAATTCATCTTTGTGCCTTCTCTATTGTGTTTTTTAATTTTTCTGAAGTTTCCTTTTTGGTTTATTTGTTAGGTGATTTTGTTCTATCTTAAAATGCAGATTGAGAAAACCTTTATGTACTGTTATTGCCAAATTACTTACAAATGATGTACAAAATCAATTTAGTGGATGTGTGCTAACCTCGAATCTTTGAATCTGAAATATTACCAGCTTTGTAGAAGAAATTCATACCAGCTCCAAATGGAAGGCTGGTAGACATGTACAGCCTGTAAATTGACTAATAATATAAATGTTAAAAGTTTATAACGATAATACAGTTCATTATAACAGATATTCTATACTGATTTGCTCCGACGTGGAATCTGTAGAATCCTTTATCATGATGTTGTAGATTTCGTAGGAAGTTGGAATTGACCGATAACAAGAAAAATTCCAAGAAAGTCTTCAGGTTTGTACTTAACATTCAAGCCTGGATGTAAACAAGAGTGATTCCATTAATCCTCGGTAGTAACTTTCCATACAAATGTCAATATCTTAAAACTTCAACAGCAACACAGTACATGTCCACTGACTCGCCTTGAAGGTAAAGATAAATGGAATATAGATAAATATAACTGTCCACTGACTCGCCTTGAAGGTAAAGATAAATGGAATATAGATAAATATTACTATCCACTGACTCGCCTTGAAGGTAAAGATAAATGGAATATAGATAAATATTACTGTTTTTGTTTGATGCATGCTGTCTGATTTTTCCAAAAATGTTTCTCCTGTTTGTTGATTTACAAAAGCCACTCTTGGACTGGTTGCATGTTTTAAATTGTTTTCTACAATTAGGCCCTCGATTTTGAGGAGTACAAAATGATGGTTTAGCTATTTGTCGAAAGTATATTTGAGAAATAGATCTATGACTTGAAGAAAAGATTGAAAATATATGAATAACTTGGTGAGATTCTGATGACTTATCATTCAATTTTAAATTTTTACAAGCTGCATTTTGGATTCTGATCTTAATCATCTTATATAAACCCAACTGTGGGATTTGGGAAGGTTGAAAAAGCAACACTAAACTTTGGGTCTTACCCTTATTTCCAAAATAACACTTCCACTGATAAGCTTCTGAAATGCAGAACTTGTAATGGCAAAACAAAAATTTGAAAAGTTTAGTAGTCTGCATATTAACAAAGAAATTAAGATGTAGGCAAGGGAAATATTTGGATATGTTGAGGCTACAATATTTCTTTTCAAACTGTAGGGAGAATAGCAGAACAGATGTTGAAGTGGAGAAGGATGGAGCTACACTGAACAGACGCCAGAAGGCACTGGATTACGGCAAAAACACAATTGCATATGACAACTATTTTGCACAGATCAAGAGGTAAAATCAAAATTTAAGCCAACACTGTAAGGCTTTCCAAGGATTATCTTTAACGACATATTAGTATGATTTTTGGTAAATAATTTAATGGGGTTTTTTTTCGCAATAAAAACTGTTGAATGAAATAGGGCTGTCACAATATATCGGAAAACAGGTATATTGCAATACACGGGTATATCATATCGTACCAAAATACTGATTTTTTTAACTTTGCAAATTACTACAAATTCTAACAGCTATGCCAATAAGCATAAAGCAGGCTTTTAATAGTTCAATTTTTGTAATCGATGGTTGGTTTGACAAAAATCTTAAATCTGTGTAATCCATATTATATATGGTCAAGTTTGATAACATTCTGACATCAACTTATTATAAAATTGAGCACATCCTGCCTATGACAATATATCGGGATATGTATCGCAATATATTCATTCTGTATTGCAATATATCGGGATACACTCGGTGACTCTTGGCATACTGTGACACACCTACTTCATACTGTTGGTCATTATGGTCAATAAACCAATTCAGTGGCCCCTGTCCTGATGCAATACTGGTACCGAGTGGAACCGGGCTATCTGTCAGTCTGTTAGCATCTTTTCTGTAGCAGAATTTCTAAACCACTGAAATCATTTTGATGACACTTCATTGACATGTAAACCATTGATATAAAAATGTGACTAGGAATATTTTTCAGACCCCAGGGAGTAATGCAAGAATAGAAAGTTAGTACCTGTTTTAGAAATAGGGGAAAGTATGGAAGGGGGGGCATGGATGACATCTTTAATTTTTTGGTTCTCCCTGTTCATTATAGACGCTTCGAATCATATACTGTAGACAAGGCCAACCATAAACAGTGTCGAACAAAATATTGACAGTGACAACATGAACACATGTACAGGAAAAATGAAGTAAATCACTTGGTTGAACTGATGAAAAATAAAAACACAATAGAACCATGACAGATTTCTATGTGGTAGCATTAGGTTACATGTGGGGGAATTTTTAACTAAAATAGGGGAAAATAATGCCAAATTGGAGAGGGGAATTGGCCCATAATCGGCCATAAAAAGGCTTGTATATATCCATGGACTCCGACTTTTAAGGTGAAGGTAACAAATTGAGATCAAAAGTCAAATTTTTCCTGGAGCATAACCTCCTTACAGTAGATATTATGATACGATTTTATAGACATCTTAAGATTCAGCCACCATCATCAATGAAAAGAGCTCCAGTAACTAGCAGTGACGAGTGTTACTGGACATTTCTTAGCATGTATTGATCAATGGTGATGTATATGCAGCAGGTAGCTGTATTACTACTTCATGCTATGAAGATATATCCTTTTTAAAGGATGACATCAATATTGAAAGTTGTTTTAGGAGTTTAAAAATATTTATAAGCATATTCTTGTTAAATGCTGGTGTTCATTCCTTTAGTCAGTAAATCATTTTAAAACTTGAATGAGAGTTATTTTGCCGCTGTATGACTCGAAAAACATCTGAAGAACTGAAATATTAAGTTTTGCATCATTTTCCTATTTTTTGTAAACAATTAGGAATGAGAGACAGAAGTCTTATCCGAGGACACCAGACAAAAGTCAGAAATGTAGTCGGCGGTCCTGGGACCAGCAGGTCAGATTGTGGAGGATTGGACTTCATCACTGGAACAACACCTGCACACCCGGACAGAGGTAACCAGGCTAGGAATAATTTTGAACAAATTTATTTATACCTCGTGCAGAGAAGTATTTGCATAATGCCTTTGAAATCTTAATTTGTAAAAGAAAGAAAAAATGATGAGGCTGATATGGTCAAAATGTCCTTCCTAGAATATTATTGTGGAGTTTTTGTGCGCCAGGGTTGGTGTGCACTTCCCGTGATGTTTTCATATAGTGCCGAGCATCTCCACATACGTTTCTAGTTGCCATACATGATGGAATAATTACCAGGAATGCATTTATATCTGACCCTGAACAAATATTTAAAACGAAACAGTTATTTCAGAGTCCTATTACAGTAATATTAGGTCTTGATATATTCAGTAAATATATGACTGAAATGATTTAAATTCATCAAGACATCATTTTCAAATAGTTAAATTTCACAATGTGAACCATTATTTTCATGAATACACAGATCAGTTCTGAAACACAGAAACTATTCAAAACAACAATAAATATCTACATCCCTAAACAATTTCTTCATGTTTTAGTGTGGAAGGTCTGTTTGCTGACACGTCATCCGAGAGTGCTTCAGAGGTTGGGGATCGTAGTTCGACTCCATCTATTTCTATGGAAGAGTGTGATGTCTCCATGGACCATGTAGACAGAGACGAGGAGGAGAACAGTGCTGGAGACCAAGGTTCATGGGCAGAACAAGTGGCTACTCAGGAGCACAGCACTTTGGACAATTTTAATCTTGAGATGTGTTTGAAACCAGAAAAAAATACCTTCAACTGAGAAACACTTGTATCCTATTGACAAGTTTTTTTTTTTCCAAGCATACAGGTTTCTTGATATTTAAACAGAATTTTTTCGATTTTGAAAAGGTTGTTTTAAATCCACACCTGAACTGTCTTGTCTGAAGACGACAGAGGCTATGTGTGGTTTTGTTTATTCGCCCTGGAGTATGCTTTGATTTGGTAATCCTATATAGATAAACAAGTGTCGGAAATAAAGATTTATCCTTAAAATGGCAGCTATTGTTTAGATTTAGTAAAGATAAAAACCTGACATTAAAGTCCTCACCATTCTATCACCGAACACTCCAGATCTTTAATTCATTGGGAAGTTCAGGGCCCGTATTCATTCACAAAACCATCCTCATTTTCAAACATGGAATATGCTCTCAAACCAACTTTCTGGTCACTATTAAATCATTTAAAACAATCACGAGGTGTAATATCGGTCAATTCAAATATAAACATTGAAAACCGTATTTGGCTTGAAGTCTCTTCAAACTTTTTCCGAATTATTGACCAGATAAAATTGTATTACTGATTTATAACCTGAACAAGAAATTAGACTTGAGCACAAAATCCATACTTGAGCATGAGAACGGTTTTATGAATACGGGCCCAGGATTTGTTATTTACATGCAATATATTTATTTTCATTGGAACCCTTAGTTCTGTTAGATGTGTAATAGTGGGTGTGATATATCATCATCGTGATACTACTGCAATGCAGTTTATATCATAACTCTCCATTTGTAATTTTGTAATCCATGATCCATGTTGTCATAGGCCATTTGCCTGCCTATTATCTGATATGTCCCTTTAGTTTTAATAAATGTCCTTCAATGCATTACCAATTGTTTTTCTTAAAGAAACTAAGTTTGAGTTAGCCTATTACACTGACTGTCAAACAAATAACATAAATGCTGAAAATTTATTTAGATATAATCTGCAAATTAAAATCCTCCTACATTTTGTTTAGTAAAAGTCCATGGTTATTTGACCAAATTTTATAAAAGCATATTTTATCTTGATAGGACCTCAAAAAGGGAAACTAGTAAAACTGAGATGTCATGGGTGTATAATATTTTGTACCTTACTTTTTGGAAAATAAAGAGTGATAAACTAAAAAAAAAGGTTGATGCTTAGGATGTGTAACACTTGCAGTGATTTAAGAACACTAACATCAACCATATTCCGTTCTTACTTTGTCAGTGAGGCGAAATATTTTGTGTTGAATTATTTTCCATGTATTGTAATGACACATTTTGAATGAATAAAGTGGTTTCTGACCCTCATCCTGACTTTATTTACTGTGCAGCAATATCTTGAATGTTTTTCATTGACAAGCTGTCAGATTATATTATTAGTATATATACTTGCATACATTTCTGTATTAAAAGATGGCAGATTGCTGTTCAACAAAAATGTTCATGAGTGGCACATTATTTTAATTTTGTAAATAGATTTTTTAACCCATATAAGATGAGCTGTCAGATCAGCCATGCATTAAACAAACGTCGTTTCCTTGTAGTCTGAATGTACAATTGTCTGAGGTATGTGTGGAATAGTGCTCTTTTATGATTGGCAAATGTTTCTGAGAGGGTCAAAAACCTCTTAAAGACTTGATGATGTTATTGGCTATTTTACGCGGCATTATAAATGTACTTTGAATGCATGTTGTAAATGATTTGATCTGTTGTACATGTGAATATGAATAATTACGACAAAACAATAGTTATTTTGAGATGTAAGATTGAAGTGGAAATTAGCGAGAGTAGAGATATTGTATTAAATTGTTTTAACATTTGTTTGTCTTATTGGATTGTTTACTGATTCACTATTTAGAAATTAAAATTTTCAACAAATCTTGTACTGTAGGCACATGACCAAATGTCAACATAGATGTATTTTTACTGATGTATAACTGAAAGGCTCTTACAAGAGGAAGGGTGCTAAATAAATAAATGGAATACAGTTGTGTGTACTGTGACTATGCAATTCATTGCATTAGTTGATAACGATGGTGACAAACTAGTCATTCAAGTAACTTACATTTTATATGGTTTCTTTATAAAATCACGGAAGATTTATGAAGGACATTAAGCACAGGGAGATTATTTATAGTAACTTTGTAGGGTTGAACTATTCTTTAATATAAATTATATAAGTAAGGCTAATAATATAATAAACTTTATCACTTGCAATCAATGTCTTTGTTATATGTGGACTGTTATTTTGAGGCTTAATTGAAATTTTGTACGGATATTTTGTGTTAAGTTACCACTATTCCTTCAAAAGTACGGAAAGGGATATAGATAGTATTTGATATGTGCTCCAATTTGAGATGGATCCAAAGAAAAATGACCCGAGTGTAGCTATTTTGCATACCTGTTAACCCCGGACATACTTACATCACCCTCTTTTGAAAATTAAAAAGAGGGTCATATCGTGCAACGTCTTTTTTTCGCAATAAATATAAGAAAAGTAGATATTAAATTAGAACTTTAATATTTTAATGATGTAAAAGGTACATTCTACATTCATTGAACTGTTCTTAACAATTCTAAAAGCAACTCAATTATTTGTTAAAACACCTCGCTAATTACTTGTCGGTATAAAGTTCAGTAACAACTGTCTTTGTATAAACATTTGTAAAAAACGTTCTAGTACGTATATAAACAACTCGCAACTTACTTGTTGGTGAGAAAACGTAAACGGGAAATAGATCGTCTTTCTTTTGACAAAGGATGGAAAAGTCTAGAGAATTCCAAGTGTTTTCGGTAACTTCAAATATATGAAAAGATTCTCTGGCGAAAACGGGTGAAATTGATGAAATCCGGGTCAAAATTGTAACTCGCTGTGTGAAGGGCTAAAATCCTAGGTGTAACCCAACGAAATCAGGTCGCTTGGCAGGTATGATTTTGACTGATATTTTGTAACCACTATCAGGAACTACAGAAAAAATCTTGACAAAACCTGGTAAATGTACATATACATGATTAAAATCTTCAGTTGTGCCAGTGTCAAATTTGGGTGATTCAGAAAAACTATTGTGCCACAACGCATTGCATTTTTGATTCTCTCAAAATTTTGTTTGCCATTTTTAGCTCACCTGCCCGAAGGGCTAGTGAGCTTATGCCATGGCGCGGCGTCTGTCCGTCCTCTGTCAACTTTTCCTTTTAACGACTTCTTCTGAAGAATGGACATTCCTAGAGTCATGATATTTGGGTGATAGCTTCGTTGGTAGGAGCCTGACAAAGTTTGAGAATGAAAATGACCTTGACCTACTTTCAAGGTCACAGGGGTCAAATATGTCAATAACTTCAAACGACTTCTTCTGAAGAACGAAAAGGTATAGAACCTTCATATTTGGCTGTTGGCTTCATGAGATGGAGCCGGACAAAGTTTGAGAATGAAAATTACCTTGACCTACTTTCAAAGTCACAGGGGTCAAATGTGTCAAACTCTTCAAACGACTTCTTCTGAAGAACTAAAAGGGATAGAATCTTCATATTTGGCTGATGGCTTCCTGGGATGGAGCCCAACAAAGTTTGATAATGAAAATGACCTTGACATACTTTCAAGGTCACAGCAGTCAAATATGTAAAACACTTCAAACGACTTCTTCTGAAGAATTAAAAGGTATAGAATCTTCATATTTCGCTGGCGGCTTCCTGGGATGGAGCCCAACATATTTTGAAAATCACCTTGCCGTATTTTCAAGGTCACAGCGGTCAAATATGTCAAACGCTTCAAATGACTTCTGAAGAACTAAAAGGTATAGAATCTTTATATTTGGCTGTTGGCTTCCTGAGATAGATCCCGACAAAGTTTGAGAATGAAAATGACCTTGAACTTCTTTCAAGGTCACAGGTGTCAAATATGTCAAAAACATCAAACGGCATCTTCTGAATAATCGAAAGCATAAAATTATAATATTTGGCTGGTGGCTTTCTAGGATAGAGCTCACCAAAGTTTTCGAATGAAAATGACCTCAACCTACCTTAAAGGACAGAGATCAACAGCATTTTAAAGGATTTGTTCTCAAGAACCAAATGGAATGGATTCATAAGATTTGGCTGGTAGCTTTTTGGGATAGAGCTAACAAAGTATGAGAAGGAAAATGACATTGACCTACTTACAAGGTCACAAGGGAAAATATGTCGATTAACTTCGGAAGAAGAACCAAAAAGCATAGAATCTTATAATAATATTTGGCTGGTAGTTTCAACAGATGGAGCCGACAAAGTTTGCGAGGGAAATATTTGTAGTGCAATATATTATTGAATGAGAATATTTTGCTATGACTGCTTAAATATTCAGGTGAGCGATACAGGCCCTCTAGGCCTCTTGTTCAGCTAGTGCTAATATCAGGTGGGTCAAGGTTGTTAAATTGGAAAAAACTTGATGGCCCTAGTCCTAGACTGCTAAAGGCCAGATATTACTCATAGATCAATACTTTAATNAATATAGCAAATTCTTTAAAATCCTTCTCTTTCTGTAGGAATGAAAGGATTTGTTCCATATTAAGTCTGAATCATCCTTGGGTGAAGGGGAACCAATTTTGTATAAATGGTAGGTCTAGCCCCCCTGGGGGCTGAGGGGCGGGGGCAAATAGGGGAAATATAGCAAATTCTTTAAAATCCTTCTCTTTCTGTAGGAATGAAAGGATTTGTTCCATATTAAGTCTGAATCATCCTTGGGTGAAGGGGAACCAATTTTGTATAAATGGTAGGTCTAGCCCCCCTGGGGGCTGAGGGGCGGGGCCAAATAGGGGAAATATAGCAAATTCTTTAAAATCCTTCTTCTTCTGCAGGAATGAAAGGATTTGTTCCATATTAAGTCTGAATCATCCTTGGGTGAAGGGGAACCAATTTTGTATAAACCATGGGTCTGGCCCCTGAGGACCCAATAGGAGAAACATAGCAAATTCTTTAAAATCCTTCTCATTCTGTAGGAATGAAAGGATTTAATCCATATTTGGTCTGAAGGAGGACCAATTTTGTATAAATGATTGGTTAGGCCCCCCTGGGGGCTGAGGGGCGGGCCCAATAGGGGAAATATAGCAAATTCTTTACAATCCTTCTCCTTCTGTAGGAATGAAAGGATTTGTTCCATATTTGGTCTGATGCATCCTTGGGTGAAGAGGAACCAATTTTGTATAAACTGTGGGTTTGGTCCCCCAGGGGCCTTAGGGGCGGGCCCAATTGGGGAAACATAGCAAATTATTCTATAAAATCCTTCTTATTCTGTCGGAATGGAAGGATTTGGTCCATATTTTTTGTGGAGTATCCTTGGGTGAAGGGAAACCAATTTTGTATAAACAGTGTGTCTAACCCCCCTGGAAGCAGAGAGGCGGGGCCCAATAGGGGAATTAGAGGTAAAACCTTTAAAATCCTTCTTCTACCATAGGAATTAAGGGATTTTATCCTAATTTAATTTGGAGCATCCTTGGGCCAAGGGGACTCAATTTTGTATAAGCAGTGGGTGTGGTCTCCCAGGGGGCAGAAGGGCGGGGCCCAATATGAGAAAAAGAGGTAAAACCTTTAAAATCCTTCTTCGACCATGGATTAAGGGATTTTATCCTTATTTAGTCTGGAGCATCCTTGGGCCAAGGGGACTTAATTTGATATAAATAGTGGGTATGACCCCCCCTAGGGGCATATGGGTGGGGCTCTGTTTGAAGTTTGTTCTCGCTATATCTCAAGTACTGGATGGATCTTTCTGAAATTTCTTATGTACTTACAGCACCTACCATTGAGTGCTATATCTTTAATTCATACCAGTTATTTTAAACACATTCAGGTGAGCGATACAGGCCCTCTGTGCCTCTTGTTGATCTGTGTGACCTTGAAAGTTAGCCCAGACCTCTTGGTGATTTATTTGATTAATGTATCTGATAACCTTTGACCCCATATACTCACCTAGGCCTCTTGATTATCCAGCAGAAGTCATTTAAAGGATCTGACATTTGACACGGGTGTTGATAATTTGGACAACATTTGATAGTCCACCAATCCAGCTACCTACTGGTCACACATTCTAACCTTAAGTTCCTGTCATTAAGTCATTTGAAAATTTTATCATTTGGCAAGTAAGCTTTAACGAAGGTCAAGGCTATTTGTTTAATAAAGTTTGATAGCGTGCCCCTACATCCTAACAACCAATTGGTCAGATCTGACCATAAGCCTGGAGTGGTCATTCGTTTAAATGTTTGAAGAAGACCAATATTGTAACATCTTGTTATCACTATCTCTGGAAGCACTGGATGGATCTTTCGCATATTTGGTATGTAGGTTCACCTTGGTCCATAGTTGTGGTTGTTTTATTTCGAGATTGACCAAAACACTGGCTATCGGGCAATTAAAGTTTGTTATCTCTCCAAGATTTTAGACGGATCTTTCAAAGATAATAATTAGGTTTGAAGGATGTGTTTCATGTTCATTGGAAAAAATGAATGCCACCTGGCAGACATCTTGAATTTTATGGTTGAATTTTGCTTTTGCTTATTCTCAGAAAGTAAAGATCGTTCTCAAATTTTATGAATAAGTTTTCCTTGTTGCCTAGTTTTGGACATTTTAGGATCTTGTTAAATCTTGTCATTATTCTTATCATTTTCCATGCCTACGCTAGGGATCTTATCGAGGATCTCTGGACTACTAGTCTGACAAGGAATGAACTATGATTTATAATAATAATAATTTGAGGTTCTGATTTACCGCTTTTTCACAACCTAGTTTGTAGGTCATCTCAAGGCAGTTCACAAAATATTATCCCTCCCTGGGGAGCATAAGCCAGTTGCGCCATTTTGGCGCTCAGAGCTAGCATTCAAAAATTCTAGCACTGCCCAACCACGTACTCATTTACAGCTGAGAAGACTGGAACAAGTGGAGTGCTGTGAGATGAGTTAAACCCACAACACTTCGGTAACGACCCCGGCGTCCTACCACTAGATTACCATGCCTTCAATTTATGTAGAGAGAAATTCTCAGCCGAGTCAGTCTGAAGAGGCTAGTATATTACCTGGTGAAATTAAACTTAATACCACAATTAGAGAGGGTCACATAACACGTGTTATAAAGCTTAAAATGTGCGGGGGGTCAGGGCTAGTGATGGGCTGATGATCGAACAGTTGAAAATTGTTCAGTTTGCCCATTCCGAATATCGATTACAAATTCCATAATCGATATAATCAGTTCATCAGTATTGAAATGTCTTCCATGTGAAATATGCTTTGAAAGTCACATATTCTTATGATTTATACTATATGATTGACAAAAATGCATAAAAGTTGCTTGATATGCATACATTATAAAAAAACAACAACTAATGTATAGAGAACCACTCTGTCTATTGATGTAATAGTAGTGTTCTCATTTAATTTGGGTATTCAGTCCCATAAAATTATAAACCGATTATGCAATCGATCATTGTTCTGTTCACTACTTCCGATTACAAACTGATTATCGATTATGATTTTAAACCGATTGCCCATCACTAGTCAGGGCCCAGTTTAACATAGCAAGTTTTTTTTTTTAGAAAGCATTGCTGGAAAAGTAGTGCAACTAGGGGTCTGATCAATACAACGATCTCTTCTTAATGACATTTAAAACAAGAGTACCGCGGGGCGGAACAAAATACGCCCGTCGAATGCCATATAGTGTTATATACTTTCTTACATTGAAATAAGATCTGCATCATTCTAAGAGTGGTTAGCTGACATGCTATAGAAAATGTAGGAGAAAATCTTCAGACACAAAATCAAATACTGAAATGAACAAAGGGCAATAACTTTTGGAAAAATTGTTGAATCAAAATTTGTTTAAGGGATCGAGACACAACTTCATATCATGATTATAATGTATACCAAGTTTCAAAGAGATCGGTTGAAAAATGTAGGAGATTGCCGGACAAAAATCAAATACTGAAATGAACAAAGGGCAATTACTTTTGCAATAATCATCGAATCAAAATTCTTTCAAGGGAGACACAACTTCATATCTTTATTATAATGTATACCAAGTTTCAAAGAGATCAGTCGAAAATGTAGGAGGAGATTGCCGGCCTAACAAAACTTTACGCCGGCCATACAACCCCATACCATACATAATACTACCGTCAAATTTGACGGTCGTATAAAAATGTAATAGTACTGTATACAGATGTATTGTTACATCACAGCAAGGAGTCTTAAAGTCAAGTTACTATACTGCTCGTCTTGATTTACAGAACAATTCAGGCCCTGCATTGGAGATGTGGGTGCCCTATAGCAATCACGTTGCCCGTCTGTCTGTCGACAAGATTATCTCAGAATCCGAAAGATCCATCTTGATGAAATGACATTGTGATGCCCTGTGAAATGTAGATGTGCAATAGGGCTTTAAAATCTATTTAAAGTCAAGGTCACTGATACTAAAAATAGACTTTGGGGATGTGGGTGCCCTATAGTAATCAGTCAGTACAAATGTATTCTAGTTTCTGATTAAACAGGAAAGATTCTGTGTTGAGTTTGCACTTGTTCTGAGAAAATAAAAACTAAAAACCAAAACTCTTTCCAACAAGTTTAATGTTGAATCACAGAAATTATATATACCTCTTATGAAACATTATAAATTCCTTTGCATAAACAATTTATGACTAATTGCAACATTATATTAGTTTTCTACAATAAACTGTATACATACAAATTCAGACAAAAACAATTTCTACTATGTAATATGCATTAATATTTCTGATGTGAATATTGCATGTATTTCAGTGTAGATATAGGACTCAATATTTTTAAACTTCCTTATTTGCTAAACAAACTTGATCATATACATGTACATGTATTCCGTAAAAAAAATCCATTCTTGTTATTTATTTACCAAGAAAGATAACTCTGTATAACAGAAAATGAATTTGCTTCACGCTCACTGCTGAATAAACGTATTGCACGGTATTCACGATGTAATGAACTGAAATATGAATGATTTGGGATTCCTGAATGACTTAGTGTGAATTGTGTAATGAGAAACATTCCTATATCGAAGTGTTATATATATGACATGAAATATGGACCTCTTTGTTCCTGTGCTCTCTTGATCAGCACTACGGATCAATGGTATTGCTGACGATAGGTTATCAACTTCAACAGAAATGTCCCATTCTGTTTCAAATGAACGGTAAATACATGATAAAAATCCCCTTTGATATTTACACAACTAATATATTGCTAAAAATAAAAATCGAAAAAAAAAAGAAAAAAAAATTCACGACGGCCACAAATTACAATATACGTGTACTATAGTGGGGCCGAGTGAAACGGTTGGATCTTCTCTAGTCAGTTACCGGGAAAGACCTGACAACAGTTCTCAGGTCTGTTTGGATTTACCCTGATCAGTTAGTTTACAAATGGCTGCACTGATTATTCTTCATCCAAGATAATCAACCTTGATAATTGTTCTTCAATCTTATTTTAAGTAAATTATACAAAAGTCCCTCTGCTACTTAGATAGGATCAACAGATCTTTCAAATTAAAAGAATAATTTGATTTATTTTGACTTTGAAATGAAATTTTACTGATACATAATTATCCAATGTAAGTCAATAATGTATTGTAGAAAGATCCACATGATCTTCAATACCTACACTGGCAAAAATTTAAACACCAAAGTCAAAATAAAGTGATTATACTATGATATTACTAAAAACATATCTGCATAAATTCTATTTCCGATCCTCGTACATCTCACTAACAACAGACATTTTTTTCTCTCTCTCTCTGTTAATTATTTGCTCCATGTCACTCATTCTAAGTTTACATATACCGATATATACAGGAAATTGTTAAAATCTTCTACATCTCTAACTTGGGGAGTTAACATCAACAAAGTATATTGTATAGTAAAGTTAGCTGAGGTAGAAATATTTCTTCCAAGAAATACTCATGAAAATTTAGATGAGAAATGTAATAAAAAAAAAAAAGGAATTCCATCCAACCAAGAAATCACATACAAGGCAATGTGGACAAAACAACCATAAAACATGAGCCACACATTTTATATAGATGCACAGAGGGCAGATCTATCTAGGCTGGGCATGCCCTCCGATGTACAGACAACAACTTGGGGAATCTGTCCTAAATGTTACCAACACTTTGATGACATGCATAAATGGGTGCACAATCAATTTCAAAATATGTTTCTTTTATTGGAAATATTTGCAGTTAGCAAAACACTGCATTTATACACTTGTACCTGTTTGAATACTAAAAAACTTGTTGCAAAACACTTGTAATAAAGATCTTCATTCTAAGGACAGATGGATGTCGACTTTTGTGGACACTGACCCAGGAGACAAAAAAAGTGATCAGGTTTTAAGACAATTTGTTTAACTATAAAATTTGTTGAAATCAAAATATTTAGAAAACACACAGACACAGATCAGGTGCGTGGTGACCTAAATTTAAAATGAAATACACCCAGTTGATATTATCGTGAACTAGTTAATAATCTCCATTTCATTATTGATCATATTTTTATTTATTTTGAAGGAATATTATCATATTACAGTAATGAGGTTAAAGCGCTTCCTCAAGATACTTCGTTGTTTTTATTCTCTTTGTTCGTTAAAATGACAAATGCTAATGACTGAAATACATAAGAAAAAGAATACTTTTCAAAATTAACATCAAATGAAAATATTTCTCTCATCACTTTATAAAGAATTGTAAATTATGTCAATATTCCATGAATTAATTTCCCAGATATTTCAACCACAGTTAATATGCAATACAGAAAAAATACAATTTCAGGTAAGAATTCGCTTGATTCTGAATCGTTTTGTTTTCAAATTATTAGATACATTATTTGTAACTTTAAAGATAAAAAAAATATACTTAAACATAAGAGCCAATATTTTATAAGCCATACAGACCATCACATTTTATTATTATGAAGTGAAACTTTCACAAAGGCACTGGTGTGATTATCTACAGTACAATAACCATAACCTTACCTAGTTCACCTCCAATATTAAACACACTGGTATAGAGCAAACATAAAACCTTTCACTCGTTTTTTGAACTTTAATCAGAATTAGTAAGAGTGCAACAGGGGAGGTAACTGTTCATCATACCCAGAATCAAATGTATTGCATCGCTTTACTAATGAGTAAGGAACTCCAAAGAAAACTGTGAAATGATTAAATTTTACATGGTCAAATGTTCTAATGGTGTAAATAACCATATTGTTCCTGATTTGTTTTTCAGAAGGACATTATTCATATAGTGTTGCCCATGTCCGTCCCATCCCATCCATAGCGGCGGCATTTATGTCTTACAGCCATTTTCTATATTTTGTATGAATGTTGCAGAAAAAATATTTTAACTTCCTTTATTGTGAGGGCAACAAATTTACAGGGCTTATAATTTTCGAGTTTTTATCGCATTGTGAATACAGCTTATATATATCTTGCACAAAATATTGTGCTGTGCAGTTGGGAAATATGTTTCTTTTGAATAATCAAATAAAAACTTTCAAAAGGACGAACAGAAATGTTAATGTAAGACAGGGGATGTAATAAAGTACATATTCACGACCAGTGTGTTATAAAATTATAAACTACATTTCTATATATATTTAAACATTCTAGGATTTCTCTACACGTCTACCTACAATATTTAAAAATACCAATATAATAACACCAATAAATGGTTCAACAATTTAACTTTGTAACTGCAAATATAACAACATGTAACAAACATCGGAGAATTAACTAGTTTACATGACATGGGGGGAAAAGTGACCTTGACAGGAGAGAGTGACCTTGACAAAAAAAGGAAGTGACCTTGACAGGAGAGAGTGACCTTGACAAAAAAAGGAAGTGACCTTGACAGGAGAGAGTGACATTGACAAAAAAAGGAAGTGACCTTGACAAAAAAAGGAAGTGACCTTGACAGGAGAGAGTGACCTTGACAAAAAAAGGAAGTGACCTTGACAGGAGAGAGTGACCTTAACAAAAGAGACAGTGACAGTCTTGTCTTCAAGTGTAAGCAAATATAATTTTTCAATGTTTTTTAAATAATTAAGATTTGACTAATCCAATTTCTAGTTTTAAAATCTTCCAAGAAACTGTCAAACATGTCTTATTTGTGAAAATGAATTCCATATATGTCTAAGATGCACATGGGATAGATACCAATATCTTCATGAGACAAACCAAATGATCATCTTAATCAATGTGTTATAACAATCGAAGGCCCTGGACATCTTGACCTATTCCGTCTTTTCGTATTGCAGAGTTATCTGCTCTTTTGAGCTGGTATGGATTGCTACGTTATTTGTTTGTGAGAGTAACGTCATCAAATTTTTGAGAAAACGACGTAATTTTCTCATACAAACTAATGACGTAACAATCAATACCTGCTCACAAGAGAAGATAACTCTGCAATACGCAAAGACGGAATTGTGTGAAGATAAACATGACTAAGGAGCTTTGGTGTCTAGTTTTAACTCCGATTTTACTGTATGACATGATAACTGGGACTGAATTACGTCTCTAGAACTGAGGCAATGAAATCTTCTCTCTCATTTATACAGAACTAACAATTGCACTTTGTAACATTATTCCATTCCTATGGAAATTGATCTATCAACGGCCTCTACACTTCTGTAAAATCATTTACAAACTTGGTAAATAAAATGTTATACTATGTTAATTATGATTGAACTTCCTTATATAAAACACACATCTATTTCCATATGTATTTGTGTTGGCTATCAATACAGCGACGGACAAAGGCTGTTTATACCACTGAATAGACCACACATACTGGTACGTATGTAGGGTGTCCTTTAGACTTTCTCACCTTGCGTAAAAATCCTGTCGACAAGAAAATAACCTCTTTATTCTGCTAATTATGTACAAGAAAAAGATTTTTTTCCTTGATCGATATGCAAATGATTCTTTTACATTAGATATTGGATTAATTTCCTTCATCAAAATTAAACTACATACAATTACACGAAGAATGAGACTTTTGGGTCAATTTAAGAATTTGCATTTGGAAATTTGCATTCAAACCTGTCAGTTAATTTTCCATTATTAATGTAACATTGCATTGTTTTTTTTTTATAACCAAACAAACAGTTAAGTCAAAGGGGCTTGTAATTTTCTTTCCAGATTTTGTTTTACCTTTGAAGGACATCTGACTATTCACCGAATACATGAAGAGTAAAATAAAATCCAAGATATTGTAGAGGAAAACATTCCCATAAATCATGGCGAAGTCCAAATTACAAGCCCCTGTGTTGAATTATCACAAATCTTTCTCTCTCTTACAAGACTCACACAAACATTTGAATTCCTGATCTCGCTTTAACAAGCTTTAACAACCGTTTTTATTTTCAATATCTGCAGTCATTTTTGGTTTGTTTTTGTTTCCACCTATATAAAATCAGCCCAAACAATTGTATAATTTCATCTGTGGCATTTGAATCTTGACCAATGTTTAAAAAAAATCTTAATTCAATTGCAAAGTAAATGTACATGATAATACACAAAACTCTAAGGATTTATTCATAGCAAACTTTTACATGATTTTTAATGGGAATTATATGAGTATTCAGCTGCCATTTCAATGAAGACCACATCTTGCGATTTGAAAATTTGCCTAAATAAGAAATTAAGAAAATGTCATTCCATACTTACACAGCTTAGCCTTGTTAACCCTTTCACCCCTATGTAACTTAAGTAAACTTTACCATGCATTGATCTGGATGAGTCCATTGCAGTCTACAGTGGTAAAAGGGTTAATTTTGTCCAATTTTCTACCAGTTACCAGTTACAGTGGCTGGATTAAGTACCAGTCACATCACAGAGTAAATTTGAACAGAAGAAGGGGGATAACTGCCCTTCTAAACACGAATAGATTAATGGGACAATCTGATCAGTGGTAACAGGGTTAGCAAGGCCTAACTGTACTGTATAACAGGACTAATGTATTCACATGATCTGACAGAGATCACTACTTAGCATGTGCATAATGGGACTTGTCTTTTGCCGCCTGGGCGTGTAACGGGACCTGTGGCATGAACATTGGCATCGACATGGCCGAGTACTGCCTTCGCTGGTCATGGGTCATCATCTCCTCGTACGCTGCGTTGGTTCGGATTTGTGCTTCGAAAAACTGATGTAGCTGCATTGGTGATGGGAAATATGGTTGCTGTGGAAACTGGGGACGAACCATGTGGTGAGGGAAGGCAGGATGGGGCAGCCCTGAGGGATCTGCTGGAACTGTTGATGGCAGAGACGGAGCTGTGGATGACGAGGAGGACTTCTTGGATGGGAGGTTGTCAGTCGTCTGAGAAAGAAAATTATACATTTATAATCATTGATCATGTACCTCTTAAAAATTGTTAGGGTGAATGAACAGCAAGGGCAGACACTGGAACAACAATTTTGATCAAACTTGGTTCTTCCTGGATATTTCCGTGATATTGTCATTATTCTTCAGTAGGGAAATTTTGAAGTCTTTGTAAAATCATATCTATTAGTAAATTGTTTTGTTGCAACATTTTTTTTCTTTTTTTTTTAAAATATTGTACAACATATAACGACTTTTTGCCTCAAAACAACAGGAAAATCTCTGTTAATTCAATGAGAAATTGCTTTACCACTTCTCACAATTGCTTAAAAATACTCAAAAAGTTTTGTAAATAAATGCACCCCATGATAGCATGGTCCCTGATTTATCATAATTAACCGACTGAAGATCATCTTTCAACTTGCTAGCAAGCCAGATTGTCCTGCTTACAACTTGCTAGCAAGCCAGATTGTCCTGCTTACAACTTGCAAGCAAGCCAGATTGTTCTGCTTACAACATGCTAGCAAGCCAGATTGTTCTGCTTACAACTTGCAAGCAAGCCAGATTGTCCTGCTTTCAACTTGCTAGCAAGCCAGATTGTCCTGCTTACAACTTGCTAGCAAGCCAGATTATCCTGAAGTTTGATGATATACATTTTATTACCATTCATGATCAAATCATGACATGCAAGGTGAACTGCTTGAGTTGCTAACAAGAGATAAATTAACCGAGCAATGTATCTTTTGTAATGTCCGAGATATACTACAGACCGTATATATGATCAACTATTGAAATTGCCTGGCTCAATCAACACATTCAACAATGAAATGCTCCACTTTTTTGATAATTTAACTAGAGATGTAATGATTAAACATTCTCAAACAAAGTCTTAGAAACCCAAATAATGCTCCCATTATAAGCATTATTCATAGAATTATAACAATATGGTAATCGAGAAATACATGTGTTCCTCAGCAAAACTTTCCAGAAAATCAAAGGAAAATTAAAATTCTGACATTTTTAGAGGTTTCATGATCATGACATTTTTCCGAATCTTGTTTTAAAATTATTTTCTTTTTTCTTATTAAGATGGGCTTACTTTTGAAAAAATGTGAAATGTGTGTTTCAAGATTTACACATTGTTAAGATGATCGGGGAAGACTTTGCCAAGTTTCGCTGAAGTGTGCCCTTCTAGCGTATCTACATCATAATATTCTACAGCATATTTAAAAGAATAGGGTCAAATCCTTGAGTCACCATACGAGTTAGTGTTTAAGTTATTCATCTTCAATGCATATCCCTTAAGAGCATACCTTATTGCTGTGGGCAGGTGGCGGCACCAGTGGTCGGTCCCCAGCCTTACTGTTGCTATGTGCTGGGGGTATGTTGGGACTGGACACAGAGGCCTGAGAGAACACGCTGGCTTGTACGTCTGGACTGTGAACCCTGTCTAACAACAGGTGACTCCGACTGGACATGCCGGGACTGGCGTAGCGCGATGATGATATAGACGACTGGGCCAAGGATTTCACTGAAAATGGGGACTCGGCAGGTGAGTTACTGCCCCTGTCTGCGACAGGATCCCCGTTTCTGTCTCTAAACCTATCCTCCTTGTGCACACTCCTACGAAATGATTTCATACTGAGGTCACACGGTTGTTCTGTTTCAGAAGACACCACAGAACCGGGATTGCTACTACTACTATTGTTACTGTGTGCCGGCTGTGTCTCCATCTTTGGTCGTTTTGGCGCCTCAAAGTCAAATAACAGGGATCTATTGTTGGAGTGAGTTCGTTGTGGGTTTGGAATGTGAGCCTCAGAGGGAACTTGTGAGTTGTATGGTCGTTTAAGAAGTGACGATGATCTTCCAGAGTGTGCTTTAGGGGCGGGAGCTCCGGGCACATACGTGGCGGAGGTATGAGAGCCGTGGTGATGTGACTTTTGAGGAGCAGGGCTTGTGTCTCTTTTTGACCCCGACAGATGTGCGGTGGCCATCTTTGATTGGTGCCCATGCTGAATGACTGATGGTCGCTGCTCAGACGAGGATGAGGATGACGAGTTAGAACCTGATCTCATTGTGTTTTGATGATAGGCCGACTTGTCTGCAGCTGCTGAAGATTTGGCCGGTTGATGGGGTGACTGGATGAGCTGCTGCATGGACACTGGCATCTGATGCATAACAGGCAGGCTGAGAGGGTGAAGACCCCCCATGTGGATAAACGGTGGATAAAACATTCCTCCACCCGGTAACGCCGGGTGGTGGCCAGGCATTTGGGACAGTCTCGTTCTATCAAACTGTAAGAGGTCGGCCTCTGTGGCAAGGGTATTAGATTGCACGGGATCAGCCCGGAAGAGTTTGGACTGACTTACGAGACTCTTACCATCACTGGCCTGTTTTGGGTCATCGGACATAGCACTACTGCCGTTAAGTTTTTCTAACTTCACAACACTTCCATCCTGTTGAAGCTTGCCGTTCTCCTGCCCTCCTGTTTCTGATCTTAAATCAAAGGTTTCAGTAAAGTTGTTTTCTCCATTATCAGTCTTTAGTTCTATATAACTCTTCTCTTTTTCTGCATTATTCAACAGGGATTTCACAGTTTTGGGATTGCGAGATACTTTCTTCAACTGAAAGAAAAAGAAGAAAATATATAGTTAATGAAATCAATTTAAAATCTTGTACTCTTTATTCCAAAGACGAAAACATTATCCAGCGTAAAAGACTTTGCTCTAATTTTCTTCTCCCCTTTTATACTGATTACATTCAGTAAAAAATTAACACACTGCTACCTAATTAAAATAGATCCCATTATAACTGCTATGGTAATGTTCCAGTAGATTGTTTGCACCAGTGTTATTTCCAATGGAAAGGACACGGGTAGCTTTCTTCTGATGTAAATTGTGAACATTTTGCCTTTGAGGTCATTTAACAGGCTCGGAACATATCTAAATACCATAGGCAGAACTAATAAATATGACTTAGCGTGACTAAGTAGTGCAAGACTCAAAATGCCAGAGGGTAAACATTTGTTTTACATTATCGAAAGCTAAAATCAAGCTGAGAAAGCAACAATGCTATCACTATAAAAGTATTATAAAAGAATTATATGTGAAATTGTCATTTGATAAATTTTAATAAATCAAATAAATATCGACGAGAGTGTTTCTCCAAACTAAACCCAATTCTGATTCTGTTGTGTCAACAGTAAATCAACGTTGATATTGTGATATACTGAAAAGTCATTATAAGGCGTATCACTAAAATAGATATAAAGTTACACAGCATGTAAATCAGGAAAAGCAAAAACAACAAATCATAGTGAACTTTTTCTAAAAAAAAGGTGTAAAAGCAATAAGTGCTAATTTTAACATGTTGCCGATACATTCATACATAACATAGTGAAAAACTCAAGTTTTACAGTAACACAACATCTACAATGTCCCTTCAACAGTGCACTTTGACAGTAATACAACACCTAAAATGTCCCTTCAACACAGCACTTTGACATTAATACAACATCTAAAATGTCCCTTCAACAGTGCACTTTGACAGTAATACAACATCTAAAATGTCCCTTCAACACAGCACTTTGACAGTAATACAACATCTAAAATGTCCCTTCAACAGTGCACTTTGACAGTAATACAACATCTAAAATGTCCCTTCAACAGTGCACTTTGACAGTAATACAACATCTAAAATGTCCCTTCAACAGTGCACTTTGACAGTAATACAACATCTAAAATGTCCCTTCAACAGTGCACTTTGACAGTAATACAACATCTAAAATGTCCCTTCAACAGTGCACTTTTATGTTAATACAACATCTAATATGTCCCTTCAACAGTGCACTTTGACAGTAATACAACATCTAAAATGTCCCTTCAACAGTGCACTTTTATGTTAATACAACATCTAATATGTCCCTTCAACAGTGCACTTTGACAGTAATACAACATCTAAAATGTCCCTTCAACAGTGCACTTTTATGTTAATACAACATCTAAAATGTCCCTTCAACAGTGCACTTTTATGTTAATACAACATCTAAAATGTTCCTTCAACAGTTCTCTTTGACAGTAATACAACATCTAAAATGTCCCTTCAACAGTGCAATTTTATGTTAATAGAACATCTAAAATGTCCCTTCAACAGTGCACTTTTATGTTAATAGAACATCTAAAATGACCCTTCAACAGTGCACTTTTATGTGAATAGAACATCTAAAATGTCCCTTCAATAGTGCACTTTGATGTTAATACAACATCTAAAATGTACCTTCAACAGTGCACTTTGATGTTAATACAACATCTAAAATGTACCTTCAACAGTGCACTTTGACAGTAATACAACATCTAAAATGTCCCTTCAACACAGCACTTTGACAGTAATACAACATCTAAAATTTCCCTTCAACAGTGCACTTTTATGTTAATACAACATCTAATATGTCCCTTCAACAGTGCACTTTGACAGTAATACAACATCTAAAATGTCCCTTCAACAGTGCACTTTGATGTTAATACAACATCTAAAATGTCCCTACAACAGTGCACTTTTATGTTAATACAACATCTAAAATGTCCCTTCAACAGTTCTCTTTGACAGTAATACAACATCTAAAATGTCCCTTCAACAGTGCACTTTGACAGAAATACAACATCTAAAATGTCCCTTCAACAGTGCACTTTGATGTGATTTTTAGTTCCCTTCGATGTAATTTTCTTTGGTTGATGTAATAAGATATTTACAAACTACTAAAACCAGATTAAATAAAAATAACAAGATAAACCTAGCACACTATAAGCGCTGGATCAATATCAATATTAAGGATCCCTGTCCCACTGCACTGCTTTTCGTATATACAGTAACCTCCCCTTAATTTTCCTTTGGATATAACTATAGCGCATTTGGGGCCAAGAGACTTCCACTGCCCAGGAAGCTCAATGGGTTTCAGCGAGAGTATGACAATCTAAGTCCAGAGTTTGAATCTTAGTAAAGCCCCACTTCATTTTTTACACTTAGAACACTGTTATTGATAATATTTTGTTTATTTCATCCTGATTATTTTTTTAATAAAGTCCAACAAAGTATGCTTTTCTTTACCGAAATGATTGATCAAAGCTTGAGTTATGCCCGGAAAAACAGGTTCCAATGGATAGTAACATATTTTTGTCAGTGGTATAAGAATCCTTAATATCAAATTAAATTTGAACTAAACTCGTATAGTGATCAAACTAAAAGAAACACCGCTAAATCCACCAAACAACCAGCTCACTACCTGTAATGTTGAGGATAGTGTATATTTTTAGGGACCAAGCGGTAATTGTGGGGTAGTATATAATTAAGGACTAAGCTGTGACATGATCAGCTAGCAGATCAGGATGGGGATGTCCTAAAGCTTGTGCTGTACAGGACAGCTGCGGAGGCTGCATGCACTATAAACTCATATCACATAGATCTCAATGCTTGCAAGCAATTCTCGAAAATAACAGCTGTACACTACAAATCAAGCCAACAGAAATGTTCTTATATTCCAAAATTCACCAAAAAAGTTTTCAAAATTAAACCATAAAACAAAATAAGCCACAAACGGAAGCAAATAATTGGCCCTGGACTAAGCTTCTTGTGGGTACCTTGTCTCTCTCTACAGCCTTGTGTTTGCGAATCGTCTCCCAGAGTTGGACTTTGTCTGAAGCGAGGCTGAGAGATCGCCTCCTCTGTAAAAGATTTATCTCGCCAACTGAATTCTATGGAAACCATTTATACCACTCAATCATCTATTCCTACAGCGTAATTTCTCTTCAGTATTTTCACCAACAGATTTTGTCATACTGACATTCAAAATTGTTTCAGCCAACACAATTTACCACTGTCATTCAGAACTGTTCAAATCTACAGGATTTTCCACAAATTCCTTTAAAACTTTTTCAGCCAGCAGATGTTACTGTAAATTCCTTCAAAACTGATTCCATCATCTAAATATATCCATCGAACGAACCCATTTATTACTCATTAACAAATTAAAATGTTCCCAATGACAAATCTGACGACATGACTCTAACCTTCTTTATACCCAAATATATGTTGTCACAGTATCATGGAACTCTTTTAACCTTTTATCTTCAAATTGTTGAAGTTGATCAGTACCATTTAGAAGTTTAGAAGAAACCTAAGAACACTATATGTTGTCACAGTATCGTGGAACTCTTTTAACCCAAGAACACTATATGTTGTCAGAGTTTTGTGGAAATCTTTTAACCTAAGAACGCTATATGTTGTCACAGTTTCGTGGGACTCTTTTAACCTAAGAACGCTATATGTTGTCACAGTTTCTTGGAACTCTTTTAACCTAAGAACGCTATATGTTGTCACAGTTTCTTGGAACTCTTTTAACCTAATATCTTCAAATTGTTGAAGTTGATCAGTGCCATTTAGAAGTTTAGAAGAAACCTAAGAACACTATATGATGTTACAGTTTCGTAGAATTCTTTTAACCTAAGAGCACTATATGTTGTCACAGTATCATGGAGCTCTTTTAACCTTTTATCTTCAAATTGTTGAAGTTGATCAGTGCCATTTAGAAGTTTAGAAGAAACCTAAGAACACTATATGTTATCACAGTTTCGTGGAACTCTTTTATCATAAGAACACTATATGTTGTCTCAGTTTTGTGGAACTCTTTTAACCTAATATCTTCAAATTGTTGAAGTTGATCAGTGCCATTTAGAAGTTTAGAAGAAACCTAAGAACACTATATGATGTTACAGTTTCGTGGAATTCTTTTAACCTAAGAACACAAGATGTTGTCACAGTTTCGTGGAACTCTTGTAACCTAAGAACACTATATGATGTTACAGTTTCGTGGAATTCTTTTAACCTAAAAACACTATATGTTGTCACAGTATCATGGAGCTCTTTTAACCTTTTATCTTCAAATTGTTGAAGTTGATCAGCACCATTTAGAAGTTTAGAAGAAACCTAAGAACAATATATGTTGTCACAGTATCATGGAGCTCTTTTAACCTTTTATCTTCAAATTGTTGAAGTTGATCAGCACCATTTAGAAGTTTAGAAGAAACCTAAGAACACTATATGGTGTCACAGTTTCGTGGAATTCTTTTAACCTAAGATCACTATATGATGTCACAGTTTCGTGAAACTCTTTTAACCTAAGAATTCTATATGTTGGCATAGTTGAACTCTTTTAACCTAAGAACACAAGATGTTGTCACAGTTTCGTGGAACTCTTGTAACCTAAGAACACTATATGATGTCACCGTTTTGTGGAACTCTTTTAACCTACGAACACTATATGTTGTCACCGTTTTGTGGAATTCTTTTAACCTAAAAACACTATATGTTGTCACAGGGTCGTGGAACTCTTTTAACCCAAGAACACTATATGTTGTCACCGTTTTGTGGAATTCTTTTAACCTAAGATCACTATATGATGTCACAGTTTCGTGAAACTCTTTTAACCTAAGAATTCTATATGTTGGCATAGTTGAACTCTTTTAACCTAAGAGCACTATATGTTGTCACAGTTTAGTGGAAATCTTTTAACCTAAGAACACTTTATGTTGTCACAGTATCGTGGAACTCTTCTAACCTAAGAACACTATATGATGTCACAGTTTTGTGGAACTGTTTTAACCTAAGAACACTATATGATGTCACCGTTTTGTGGAACTCTTTTAACCTAGGAACACTATATGTTGTCACAGGGTCGTGGAACTCTTTTAACCTACGAACACTATATGTTGTCACAGGGTCGTGGAACTCTTTTAACCCAAGAACACTATATGTTGTCAGAGTTTTGGGGAAATCTTTTAACGTAAGAACACTATATGTTGTCCCAGTATCGTGGAACTCTTTTAACCCAAGAACACTATATGTTGTCACCGTTTTGTGGAATTCTTTTAACCTAAGACCACTATATGTTGTCACAGTTTTGTGGAATTCTTTTAACCTAAAAACACTATATGTTGTCACAGGGTCGTGGAACTCTTTTAACCTAATATCTTCAAATTGTTGAAGTTGATCAGTGCCATTTAGAAGTTTAGAAGAAACCTAAGAACAATATATGTTGTCACAGTATCGTGGAACTCTTTTAACCCAAGAACACTATATGATGTCACAGTTTCGTGGGACTCTTTTAACCTAAGAACGCTATATGTTGTCACAGTTTAGTGGAACTCTTTTAACCTACGAACACTATATGTTGTCACCGTTTTGTGGAATTCTTTTAACCTAAGAGCACTATATGTTGTCACAGTTTTGTGGACCTCTTTTAACCTAAGAACACTTTATGTTGTCACAGTATCGTGGAACTCTTTTAACCTAATATCTTCAAATTGTTGAAGTTGATCAGTCCCATTTAGAAGTTTAGAAGAAACCTAAGAACACTATATGTTATCACAGTTTCGTGGAACTCTTGTAACCTAAGAACACTATATGATGTTACAGTTTCGTAGAATTCTTTTAACCTAAGATCACTATATGATGTCACAGTTTCATGGAACTCTTTTAACCTTTTATCTTCAAATTGTTGAAGTTGATCAGTCCCATTTAGAAGTTTAGAAGAAACCTAAGAACAATATATGTTGTCACAGTATCATGGAACTCTTTTAACCCAAGAACACTATATGTTGTCAGTTTCGTGGAACTCTTTTATCCTAAGAACACTATATGTTCTCACAGTTTTGTGGAAATCTTTTAACCTAAGAACGCTATATGTTGTCACAGTTTTGTGAAAATGTTTTAAACTAAGAACACTATATGTTGTTACAGTTTCGTGGAACTCTTTTAAACTAAGAACACTATATGTTGTCACCGTTTTGTGGAATTCTTTTAACCTAAAAACACTATATGTTGTCACAGTTTCATGGAACTCTTTTAAAATAAGAACACTTTATGTTGTCACAGTATCGTGGAAATCTTTTAACCTAAGAACGCTATATGTTGTCACAGTTTTGTGGAATTCTTTTAACCTAAGAGCACTATATGTTGTCACAGTATCATGGAACTCTTTTAACCCAAGAACACTATATGATGTCAACTATATGTTGTCACAGTTTCATGGAACTCTTTTAACCCAAGAACACTATATGTTGTCAGAGTTTTGGGGAAATCTTTTAACGTAAGAACACTATATGTTGTCAGAGTTTTGGGGAAATCTTTTAACGTAAGAACACTATATGTTGTCAGAGTTTTGTGGAAATCTTTTAACCTAAGAACGCTATATGTTGTCACAGTTTAGTGGAAATCTTTTAACCTAAGAACGCTATATGTTGTCACAGTTTAGTGGAAATCTTTTAACCTAAGAACACTATATGATGTCAACTATATGTTGTCACAGTTTTGTGGAATTCTTTTAACCTAAGAACACTATATGATGTTACAGTTTCGTGGAATTCTTTTAACCTAAGAACACTATATGTTGTCACAGTTTTGTGGAACTCTTTTAACCTAAGAACACTATATGTTGTCACAGTTT